ATATTCCTCAATAAGGTTTTCTTCGTACAACATTTCAACCTTGCGGAGGGTATGTGCAGTGTATCAACTTCTACGTACGAATTTCTGAATCCATCCTAAGCCGTTTCAATCGAAGGCTCTCGTTTTATTGACCAATATACTGAATGTATGGTATCCTGTATATTTGCTTACTCACATTCCATTTTCATTGGATATGTTATTGATAGGAGTAAATGTGCCAGTATTTCTAATGAATAGAGCTACTCTTCCTTCTAGATTCTGCCAGCCCTTACTGATGCAAAACTGTGAAAATCAAATTGCTTACTGTCTACAGACTGCGTCCGCCGATTTTCTGTAGCTGTGATTACATACGACCAGGTAGAGTCTGATGATGCAAACGGATATTCTAGTTTTACAATTAGCTACCAGTAGCACCTTCTATATTCGATCGTTCCCAGTCAGATAGAAATCAGAAGTCAGACGAGAAGAGGCAGGAAAGATATATTTGATTCGTTACCAATATATCGAGGACCTTTTCTATAAGCTGGCTAATGAAACGTAGGAGCTGTGTCCCAAGCCGTGTTGGAACGTGATCTGGTACGGATGCATGACCGAAAGCCTTCAGCTAAACAAGTCCACTTAAACAACGTGGTCAGCATCCAATGTCGAACACTTAGGAAGCTATTGATTTTGGGGAATTATTTACAGCTACAAGTATATCTGTACACCTAGCTCCGATCGCTTGTTGAGAAAGCCACGGGGATTTGTGTAACAGATCTGAAAATCGCTTAAATGGCTTCGTGATGCACCCAAAGTAGCTTAGGCATCATTCTCTGTCGAATCCTCACCACTCGAAAATTTACACTTTCAGGCTTATTCTCCCCAGAATCTAACCATAATTTTAGTTCTACTTCAGCTTCTCGTCTTTTCATAGGGGCCGCTAGCGGCAAGTACTTATGGACAAAAATTCCTAACCTCTTTTAGTGTTTATGTCCGTTTTGTATCATTAGGTCGTTTTCATTAATAGACTTAAGTATTACTTTTGGCAGCTTGGTTTGATTTTTCCAAGTCCACTAAGCTGCCTAATCTGTAAACGTTTAGCAAGGTGACTTCAGAGAACTCCTGAGGTACTAGTTGGTTTAATGGATATTTTATCAACTCAATGTCATGTTCAAAACGGGTTCTGGGTTCTGAGCCTTCACGCTCCTTTACTCTATGAAAGACAAGTGACCTGTCACTATGATCAGTGTTAAGTTATGATTCTTGTGGTTGGCTCAGTTTTTCAAGCCTGTTGTTGATGTTGTTTTTGTTTCACTTTAAGCAACAAACAACTTGATTGAACCAAATGTTCCATGGTCGGATTTTGTTTGATTTTAGTCTATTTGTTTAGGTGTTTGTGTTTTATTTCGCTGAAACAAATAGTTTTATCTGTTTTGTGTTCCCCGTTGTTTTCGACTGCACATTTTTATTTTGAAAATATCTAGCTATTATCTACCTCATATTCTGGACAAACTATTATTGTGACAGACCAATCTATTACGTGCACGTTAACTGTGGAAAACAAGTTGGTAACAGTGATAGACTGAACCCTAAAATGAAACTGAATAGATTTTCACCAAAGCGTCCTGTTGGCAACCTAAGGAACCTCAAAGATACACTTCCGTCTGATGATAGCTGTAAAAGACGTAACGCCTTAAAAATCTTTCGGAAGTGCTGTATTGAACAATACCATTATTTCTTTCGTCCACCGCCCTGTTTTGAGTGCCAACATTCGATCAGAAATCTTGTTACTGTCTTCTTTAATTGTTTGACGTCGGTTAATATATACCTTTATTATTTACTTTCCTTACACAATCCCTAGACATTGACATTAAAGTAGTAATTGATTAAGGCCAAGGTCTAAGCTCAGTTGGGCTGGTGGTTTTCGATATTTTATTACCTGTAAGAAAAGGTCATTCTAACTCTTGCAGATAGATATTTCACATCATTTTGTTCGGAATAATATTATTGGTTTTCGGGTACCAAACACTTTTTCATAATTATTTTCTCTTGCAGTTTATTACGCTTAACCGTCGTGAAAGAAACCCTTGGCTGTATGGCACATGCTGAGTCTTTTCAGGCATTGCATACCTTTTTAAATTATTTGCCTTTGCGCCTAAGTTAGAAGTGAATGAGCTGAAATGAATTTGTGTGATATAATTTGGCATTGTTGACTAAAGAAGACCTCCTACATCACACAGGAGGTAGTACTTTAGTCAAATAGAAAGAACTATAGTTCTTCTGTCCTTTGCGTTCAGAAGAAATTCCGGAACTCCTATTGTTATGCACAGTGCGTTGTATTCAATTGCAATCAAATGTTTCACGGTGAAAAAACTCTCGCCCGCACAATTTAAAACAAATTTTTGTTAGTAAATGTATATCAGCTTCACGGGGTCGCAATCCATGTCTTTTATTATCTAAGTCTTGCCAAACAATAGTCTGAAGAAATCAAAATAAGCGAATAATATTATAGTAGTTAAAGTACTCGGATTTAGATTATTACAATACTAAGGTGACTGAGAGCAGATAGCTAAACAGATCAGCCCCATATATATTACTCTGAAAAATAGACAATTAACCTTAAGTACAAACGGGAGCTTATCTAAGATAACAGGAAACGACCAGCAAAAATCATGGTTCGAAACAGATTGTCTGATCAATATCTTTGCCCATGGGCGTACGCTCAGTGCAGAAGCAACGCCGTAGACAGTATTGTATGCCTTGATCTTCACTAGACGTTGAATGGGGCAGAAAACACGATCAGCTATGATATTTGGTATCGATCAAATCACCACGGTCTTATGAACTACACCTCTCACTGATGACGCATCTTGAGGTGTAGATTACTGTCCTTCCTTGCAACTTTTAGACTGTCTTCCACTCATTTTGAGCAACAAAAGAGCTGAAAGTATGAGGTAGCCGATTTGATTCAGGCAGCAAGATCAAGACCTAATATAAAAAACTACAAACTGATGAATCCTACCAGATTCATGATCAGAATGGATAGTTAAACGATTTTGGAGATGGTTCAAAGTGAAAGTGAAATATAATATCACGAAAGCGACTAGCAGAGTCGTTAGACAACAGAAAATCGGTGAAGTTGATTCATAAAGAATCCACAACAGGCGTCGGATTAAGTTGCAAATCCTAAAGGTAACCTGGGATCTATTTGATGCGTCGCCGGTTTTCTGATTGGGCGCCAATAGAGACTGCACATAAGCTATAAACTCTGCTTTCTGGAATTTTTACCCTGTAAAGCACCACAAGGCCCAGCGCTTGCTACTGCGTCGTTAATTTTCTTTTTACGAGAGCTTTCACGTGCCGAAACCTAATTAATTTTAGCTTCAAGGACTTCAAAATGTGATAAGAAACGAAGGAAAGCGATTTCCATGCACTACATATGAACTTTCGAGTTTTAATCCTTTCATCTAAGTTATGAATAATGTACATCAAATTAGATATCTCCACGTCCTCAAGACACATGAGTGATAGAAAGCATAGGATGCAGATAACGTATGAGGATTCAGACGCAATGTACCATCCATAGTGTTTGTGAAGAAAGGGAAAACGTTCTATCGCCGAGTCACGTTTTAGTATATTCACCGTATTTTCCACAGTCCTTTGGGGTCTGGAATTGGAAAATAGGGTGCAGGTCAAAAAGCCCTCTTTTTAAGCTACGCAAACTCTTGATCGAGTTGGGAAGCCAAGTAGGTTCGCATGATTACGATTACTTTTATAACTACTTCCAATTAAGAAATTCAGTCGTAAGAATTCGTTCATCTTTAAGACCTTATTGAAGAATCGAGATATTTAGATATCATAAGGATGTCCAGGGTAAAGAATCACTGAATGATAATATTTCACTAATCCCTCCGACTCTACTGTGAAATGCGATTTACATTTGGATCTGATAAAGAGGACAATAATATAGATTATGACCTTCCATATAATTTACTTGAGAGGTAAGGGGATATAATCACTTGGAATTTACGGGTTTAGCTAATTCATGAACTTAAGGTTCAATGTGGTTTTAATGCGATTATAATGTCGCCTAATTATATTTGTAGCACCATTGAAGTTTGATGAAAGTAAAAGACCCACAACTTGTTAATTGGTGTATCAGATCACATAGAGACTCATCACTGAAGATGTCACGGAATTTCAGTGTGTGTCAACGCTTCTATCCTAAACTTCTCTTTATATACGAATCCAAAATTCAATCAAATCAGAAGCCAAGAATGAAAAGATGCAAAGATACCTTTTAATACTGGACGATGTGTTTAAGTGTGTGCAATCTAAATAGACTAGTTTTGCACAAGAGATTATCAGTCAGGCGTGCTCAAACGTGGTTTGGTAACGATGCTTAGAGAAGCACTGTCAGTTAGTAGTGTGTACAGTAAAAATAATGAGATCAGTATCAATGTGGAAGAATTATAAAACCATTATTTTTGAATTTATTCGGGAGTACACGCATGTCCAGTGACTAGAGAGTATGTGTACTATACACGATGATAAATCTAATTCAAATGTTTATTACCAGCCGTTCATTCATATCCTTTGTTGATGTTGGTACTGGGATAGTTTTGTTAGAAGGTACTCCAATAACAGTGCTTTAAAACCAAAACCAGCGAATACCTCTTCGTATCCATCTATTCTGAGGATTTCTATACTGTTACGAATCAACTAGGACTATTTCTGCCGAGTCTGTGTTTTTCACTGGATGTCTTTTAATAATCACTATAGAAATTTAGACCTGACATCCAGTAGATCATTAAAACTCGAATAGCGTAACATGTAGGTTCACAAATCAAGAACGGATGTTATGTCTGTTGAATATTACTTTTAAAATGAGCGGCCAACCCTTAAAATATACTTCTCGAACGATTCACGCTAGAATATATTGCAAAATACAGAAATAAATTAGTCGAGTAATAAAGCACATCTTCTGCCTTCTTTCTTTAATCCTAATTTGATTCGACAGTGATATACAAAAAACGTGGCTTTTTTGACTAGCGTGCTACGTCCTTACAGATGGCAGCTGTTATTCAAGACCCTTCTCGCCAGATTACGAAACCGGAACTAGTATTCAAAATCGATGGACTCTCTTGTGGTGTAAATGACGCGATCTTTATCCCTGGTAGAGACTCCATCGTTACAGGATCAGAGGATCGGCAAGTTGCATGTTTCCTTGTCTAAACTTTTAGCACTTTGAGGATATGGGTCAGGAGAGACACTGGGAAGTTCTGGCCAACAGTTATTGAGTTGTTACCCAGTACGTTTCATCATTCTAATCTTTTAACTAATAGGTCCCGTTACGTGTATCACGTATTCTGCCGAATCACACAGGTTATTCGTCGGTTTGGAGAATGGGACGGTTGTAGAATATGACGTTGCTGAAGATTTGAATCATATTGAACACAAAAGAGACTATCTCTCCCATACTGCTAGAATAACTGGGATCGTCTGCACTCCAGATATGGGTTGGGTTGTATCTGCTTCAAAAGATCGTACTGTCGCATGGTATTCGACCAATAGTGGTAGACGTATATGTGAACATATTTTAGAGCACTCAGCCATGTGTTTGGAGTAGGTGGATTTTTATCATTACAGCTTGCCTGCTTTGTATGGTTTGGTTGTCAAATATTTACGTGGGATTTAAAACGTTACTCATAGACGAATATGCACTTATTAATGAAACATAAGAGACCTCTCTTGTTGATTAAAGTTGCTTACTATAGCTCGAGTGAAACTAATGGACAATAAATGTCTAGACTTTTAGGCCAAGAATTCGTTTGTGTTCTGCAAATCACCGAATACATAGAGTATGTTATGTCCGACTGTAGCAACAGTTTACTATTGTACAGTGTCTGTGAAACACATTGTTTTTAACAAAGTTTTGAGTGAAATCTTGTACAAAATAACAAAGTCCACTGAAAAGTTAAGTATGTTCAGTTAACTTACATACCATCTCATGCACAAATAAATTTATTGTATATCATATATGTAAATCGCTTCTTACGTAAATAATGCTTCTGTTTGTTTGGAAACTGAAGTCTCTTCCTGATCGATTCGGTTTCCACTGGTTCCTAGTGGTTTGCATAATTTCGTATTCTAACTAGCATAAATTGACAACTGTCATTTATTCTATCTAGTTAGTCGCACTCAACTAATGACTTTTATGAAGATATCACCATATCTTACTACACAATCAGTAATCAAGTTCACTCAAATTCGTATCAAAGTTTATAAGTTGTATTACTTCCTTGCAGTATTTTTCAACCATTTCAATACAGTGAACGAGGCTATCTTCTATCCTGCCCTGTTAACTAAAACAAAAGGACGTTTCGTAGTTAAAGCTTGTTGATAATGTCCCCGATATAATCAAATTAAAATACACTTAAGCTTATCGATTGTACATTAGTTACCATGATTAAGATTTGTGGATTGAGTTTTTGTCATTGAACAGGAAACATAGTATTGAGAGTCCACGGACAAAATCACTAAATAATTTGATGCACCGAAAATTCATCCTAATTAATATCGATTTCCTTCCTCATAAGTTGTATTTGTGAATTGTACATCTCCAGTAAGTTGGGTGCTATTTAACACTACCATGTACAATCACTAATTTGAAAGCTTGCAACTAATTCGTTGGCTAATGCTGTCTTGCCTCCGGTAACTTGCTAAAATGTCATTGTATATTATGGTGTTGGTATCTAATATCGTACCAGCTTATACTTAGGTAGTATACAAACATCTAGTAGGATAAAAAGATCACCGGTACTTTTTTATATCCACCCTAAAAGGTTGTGGATACGGGATTTCAAATTAAAACTTATGAAAATCAAATCAATATTAATTGGATTGAAATTCTGTCACAGTAAACTACTTAGTGTGAATATTATTCACGTAATCTCAATGCACTTTCGGGATATTTTGCGTCAATGACAATCACTCAGTTTAAGTACTCTAATCATTTCTTATTGATATGTAATCGATGAGTCCAATATATTTCGATGGATTATACTGCGTCTACATCTAAAATAATTTCATTTGCAAAACGTGTTTTTACTTTAATTGACGTGGGAGAAAGAAAATAACGGAATAATCTTGTTCATGGTATTATAGTTGGAGTAGTGCGAATTATTAGCATGGTGCATGGACGTATCAATAATATAAATACGTCCATGTTTATGATATTGTTTCATACTTTCGCATAAACTTGTTCTTATCTTCATTTCTCAGTTTCTTAACCGTTCTAGTTGTTATTGTTGGACGGTTTTACTGTTACTTATGAGATTTACTTTTTTTTGAATACAGATATGATGTTGGCTCACACTACGTGTTTGTTGGTGATAGCAGCGGTCGCATTACTTTACTGAGCATTAATCAAGTCAATGGTCAAGTAATGTGTCGTGTAATTCGTGAACTCCGTGGCCATGAGCAGTCAGTATCCTTTCTGGCTTGGGATAGTATAAATTCCCGTCTATTTTCTTGTAGCGCCGACCATTCTGTTATTTTCTGGGATATTGGCGGAGCTAAAGGTTCATCTTTTGAGTTGCAAGTGAGTGCGCTATTCTACTCTTTGGTTTAATTCTCATCATTTGCTCCCTAAGTTGTTTAACATAAATTTGTAATTTGGAAGGATATAGGGTAAAATACATAATTATGATGAAAGCTTTTCCGGCCTGCCTAAAGTGATCAACCAATCGGACTATAATGATTGGAACAATCGTTCATCAAGGTCCTACTATGTCAGGCAGGTCGGTCGAATTAACCAGCAAGTATTCTTGGCTATGACCACAGAATCTTTTACGATTGATGTATGCTGTGTCTCTGAAACACGCATACAGTATCCCAGTGTGGTCATTCACTTGACCTCACTTGGCTTAAAGGGGAAGCCGACGAGATACACCCTCCGTGTATCTGGCCACCCGACTGCTAGATCTTGTGGACTGGCGGGTGTGGGCATAGCATTAAGTATAAGGGCAGAACAAGCACCATTAAAATGGATCCATGTTAACAGTCACCTATGTGCTGTTCGGCTAAACGGCTCCGTCAGAACTCGGAAGGATAGTGACACACGTTTCTGTCTACGCTCCCACTGACTGAAGTCCGGATGAAGTGAAAGATGACTTTTAAAGAAAGCCTTCTAAACTTCTTCATAAAGCTAAACGCTCAGACATAGTACTCGTTGCAGGTGACTTTAATGCCCAAGTAGGTAGCTTAAACCAAACAGAAAGACATTTAGATGGGCATTTTGGTATTGAATTTCAATGAACAGACAATGGTGATCGTCTGTTGCAACTATGTTCAGACAATCGTTTATTTTTTACAAACACTAACTTTAAGCATAGGAAGAGACATCGTCTAACATGGCAACCTCCTGCACCAAACCAACGATGGACTTAAGTAGACCATGTTTCCATCAGTCACCGTTGGAGAGGCTCAATAGAAGACTGCTGCTCGTTTTGGAGTACATGTTTAGACTCTGATCATGCATGCTTTAATACGAGTACACATTTGCCTGCATCTCACTGGACGCAGAAAACCTACACTAAGAAAGCCTATTAGAATTGAATTCAGCGATAAGAAGAGCAAAGGTAAGTTCCAGAAAAAAAATTCACATTTAGGCAATTCTGAAAACAAGGCTGACCCAGATGTTATTTGGAAAGGTATACGAACAGCTATGGAAACAACAGTGACATCTAATAGTGATTTAAACCAATGGGTTACGATAAACCAATGGATTTCTGCCAAATCTATTACGCTGATAGACTCTCGTAAACTCATTCTATCAGGCTCCAAACATGATGAAGAGCGAAAGCAAATCAAATCTAGGCTAACAAAAAGTCTACGGAACGTTCGTGAGCAGTGGTAGGCAACGAAAGCAAAACAAATGGAAAAAGCATCGGCTGTAGGTAACGCCACAGCTTTTCAGACTAATAGAAGAAACAAATTAAGAAGCCAAGTGTGAGACAATCTCGGAAAAATACGACACTTATCTGCTCTCAGCCAAGACGTTTAGAACGATGAGTAGAACACTTTGAGGTGCAGTCTAGTTGGCCTTCAGCTACCCACCATCTCCTAACAGCGTGAGTGGAACATTGAAATAGGCCCGCCGACTCTAATTAGAGTTTAGAAAGCTATAGCTAATGTGAAACGATGGAGAGCTGCTGGTCCAGGTAGATTGGCTTCAGAGGTTTTTAAGGATGGTGGTCCAGTTTTAGGGATTAGGTTAACTAACAGTTTAGCTGAAATCTGGGGACTGAATGTAATCCTGTCTAACTGGTCACAATCACTAAGTAATATAGCATCTAAAATACTAGCCTCAATAATTATCGGACGCTTAACAAAGATTCATGAACTGCAAACACGAGGAAATCAGGCTGGCTTGAGACCTGTTCGTGGCTGCATCGACCATATATTCACTATTAGTCAGGTTCTAGAACGCAGACATGCTTATCGGCGTCAGACAATGACAGTTGTTCTTCACTTAAAAGCAGAGTTTGACTCCGTAGATCGAGAGGTTCTGTGGCAGTGTCTGTCATTGAAAGGTGTACCTCAGAAGTACATAAACCATGTGAAGGCTCTTTACTCGACCACTACCAGCCGAGTCAGAGCTTATGGTGAACTGTCATCTGATTTTACAACCTCAAGTGGTGTCTGGCAAGACTGTCCACTGTCTTCATTTTTGTTCAATTTCATCATAGACCTACTGCTGGAAATAACTCGTCGACTGAATTTTCAGGAATCGATCTCCTACCAAGAGGTTCACTTATCGACTTAGAATACACCGATGATATAGTCCTGTTTGGTGAAGATGCTGATAAAATGCAGTCTTTTAATAGCACTGAGTAACAATGCCAGGATGTCTGGAATGCGTTTTTTCACTCCTAAATGCAAACTGTTGCTTCAGGACTGGCCTGCATCAAAACTTGAACTAAGGATAGGGAGTTAAGTGGTCGGACACATCGGTAACTTCACTTATCTTGGAAGTCTGATCAGCACTATTGGGTTGGTGCCTAACAAAAACTCTGCATGGATTCAGAAAGCTCGTTTGGCTTTTGCCAACTTACGTCACATATAGCGAAGGCAAGATATTCATCGATTGAGATGGTTGGGCCAAGTATTACGCATGCCAAACCACTGAATACCACGGCGCACAATGCTGATGAGTGCTGGGGACGGATGGAAGTTAGGGGCGGCCAAACCAAAATGTAGCATCAGTCCATAAAGTCACTAAGTTCTGGTCTCAGTCATGTCGGTAGATGCAGACTACATGGTTGGGGTCTGCGCGACTACCATAGCCAGTGACTGGAGACTATGTAACATGACTCAGAACCGATCACAATGGCGTAGGTGTATAAACTCTTTGTCTTCCCATAAACCATGAGATTAAAATTACTTTATACCTTTCTTTCTACGAACTAATTCTTTCTTTCTGTATTGTATATACCCTTATACACGATCTTTCTTCTGCATATTTCTATCATTGGAGTGACTGCTTCTGTGAATTTGGTGATCATCTTGTTGTGCTAATGAGGTATGGCAACTTTTACTGATGCATATATGTATGCGCTTGGTCCTACGTTCCAAGTGACTAACTTTCCTGCATCCCATCGTTGTACAGGCCAGTGTTTTCTGCGATTTTCTTTCAACATTAAATTGACTGAATACCTTAAAAAATCTTTGTTATTAAACTATGAAATGATCTTATCGTAAATTAATGGTAATAATTCATATTATGCTATTTATGCATCAAGGGACATTCCAAAGAAGTGTCGTCAATATGTTGGTGGAGTACGGGTGCTTCTTCTGCAAATGTCAAGGACAGTAAGTACAAAGGACTACTTATATCCGGTGGTCTTGATGGGTATCTGATTTTCTGGTTTATGGACCCTTCACGCATAGAAAGTCCTAACTGGTCAGAATCAGATGTCTGTCATATCTGTAGCGGGCCATTTTTCTGGAATGTCCGCAAAATGTGGAACAACATGTCGGTTGGTGTGCGTCAGGTATTCATTTTTGTACAAAGTTTCGTTAAACTTATGCTCATTAATTCAATGCAGTTCTTTCAATTCAGTGAATGTCAACCAAATTATCAACACCAAACTAATCATTCTAGAATGATTGTCGTAGCTTATGAGAAAAGCTGAAGGTTACAAAGACAGCAGGTTGTAACCTACCTATTCTTTTTTTAACTCTTCGGCTAATATTCGTTAGAACAGTTGCTATTTGAGAAAATCGTATTCTAAATAATCAGAGACGATTTAAGACGAAAGATTAGAAAGTTCACTGTTTTATGGAATTCCAGTAAATTTTTACTGACTGAGAATATAACATATGTAAAATCACGTGGTCTCTAGTGTAAATCAGTATATATTGTGGTAAATCTCCACCCCCTATAGTTTTCGTGTTATGTTGGTAATCATTTATTAACATACGGTAAACCTTTTAGCCAAGGTATGCACTTCAAACTTCCACGTCCAGTTGTTTCTGTTGGTTATATTTCAAATCGCTTTTACTAGTGATCGATTATGGTGGTATAAACGTAGGTATGCCGTCGCTAATTGTTATAAACGTAAAAGAGAGAGAGAGGATGCTGGCTATAACAGTTGGGGTTCTTGTTATAACAGTCCTTTTACTTGTTACACGTATGTGGGACGTTAATTTATCTTAGACGAAATCTACACTAGATTCCCACCCAGTGTCTATTCTACAGGACTTCAACAGAACTCAGATCAAGAACACAATATTAGCCTGACTATAACGTCAATATATTTCACACCAAAATCCGACACATGGAACAGTCCATCAATAAGTATCCAACATCAAGGAACAGTCAAGAAGTCAATACATAATAAGGATAGGGAAATATATATATATCACATAACACCTGTCATCCCCTCTAATGTCTGACTCATCGAGACAACCAATCATTGACATTCTCGCCCACACATCACCTCCCTCGCGAAGTTTGATCGTATGATTTCACTCTAGGGTCTATTTGAAAAAATTTCGTTTGTTTCCGTTTCCTGAATGACCTTCGTCTAACTTCTGATTCTAGATCATTTTTTCTCATTTCAACTTGTGGTGGTGGTGGTGGAATATCAAATGTATCACATAAAACTTCCATTGGTAATGGTTTGAGTTTAGATGACTCATAAACACATTTTCTATCTCGCAGTTGATTTACATGTCTAAAAATTAGTGTATTTTCGACCATCACTTCATATAATGCTGTACCACGTCGTTTTTTTATAAACCCAAATATCCATTTTGGCTTGCCAGGCCGGAAATCCCGTGCATAGACTGAGTCACCTACTTTGAATTCTCGAATTTTCAGGCAATTCCCTTTGTTATTTTTTTGTAGTCCACTGATTCTGTCTTTCGGGATCAAAACATCAAAAAATGTTCTAATCGGTCGGCCAAACATTATTTCGGCTGGAGATTTCCCATCTTGACAGTTTGGACTTGGCGTAATTCTATAAGAAATGAGAAATTGTTGCAGAGCCTCTTCTACGTTGCCTTCTCCTCCCATCTTTAAGAGAGCTCGTTTAAGAATATCAACAAATTTCTCTGCCTGCCCGTTCGACTTAGGGTGATACGGTGGAGTTCTAACGTGCTCGATTCCATTCTGTTTACAGAACTCCGCAAACTCTAACGACGTGAACTGCGTCCCGTTATCTGAAACCAAAACATTAGGTGTACCAAACCTACCAAATAATTGTCTCAGATGTAGCAGTGTTTCAGACGTAGATGGTCTTCGTACCACATAAATTTCAGGCCATTTTGAGTATGAATCAACCACCACCAAAAAATATTGTCCACTTATTGGTCCAGGATAATCAACATGTAGTCGGACCCAAGGCTTTGTCGTTTCTGGCCATGACTGGGATTCTGCTTTCGGCACATTCAACGGTAAATCCCACAAACCAAATTTATCAATCCAATCAATACCTAATAGATTGGTATTACAGTTCCCGGATACGTAACATTTCCCGGTCATAGTCTTTTCACCAAACGTGAGAGGTAGCTGTATTACTCCAAGAAGAGTAATATTAGTTCCTGATGCACTCTTGGCATTACAACATGTAGGTTGATATCGGGGTCGACCAATTTTAATCCAAGTTTCTCTAGAAATTAATGTTATGTCAGACCCAGTATCGACTTGTAGTTTGACCGGTTTGCCATCGAAAAAAATAGTTACATACTTCCTTTTAGAGGAGAAATGCTCACTTTTTGTAGCCAGAACAACATTTGAGTTATGCGGCATTACTTTTGAAGTATGTATCTTATTTCCTTTACGGAACTTATGCTGACGGTCAGAAACCTTTGGTTTACTTTTACAACATACTTGAGCATGACCATATTTACCACATTGAAAGCATACTCGTTTTTTAAAGTAACAAACTTTGGCAGAATGAGACTTACCACATCGCCAACATGACATTTTGTGTTTCACTTAATTTGGGATTTTCTGGGAGTTCGAATCTTTATTTCCATTAAAAGATTTACGTAAAGCATTAATTCCCACGTGTTCACTGTTCCTTTCTACGAGATTCGTGTCATGCTTCAAATTAATCATTCTTTGACACTCTTCAGATACTGATTGTAGACTGATATTAGGATCTTGTTCGATTCTCGTTAGAATCCGTGCTCTAATATCTGCATCTACTGGAGATTGTAATCCACATACAAAAATAAGGCACTTAAATTGATCTGAGGACATTTCCTGTAATCGGAACCGCTCACATTCCCGGTTCACGATACTTGCATACGTTACGTAATCGTCCTGTACTTTCTTTACGAGTTGAAGACACTGGTATCTAGTGTGAAAAATTGATGACCGTTCACCAAATATACGAGTCAGGCATTCAACTGTTTCTTTGAACGTTATGTCGGATGGCTTCTTTGGGAGGATAAAATTACAGAATTTTTCATGTTCGGACACTCCGGGCTTTCGTAATAATAATCTCAATTTCGAACTTTCGTCCCACTCTTTACATTCATTAATAAATAAATCCTCATGGCGTTTAAACCATGCCTCAAAAGTAACTCCACTTTCTGGATCAAATATAAATTCAGTTATTGAATTTGCAATAGAATCCGGAGTCATAGTGGAATTAGACACATCAGTTCTTGAGGATATCGACATATTTTTGACTAATAATTCGATAAGAGTATTTTGCTGTTGCAATAAGGTTTTCAGATCATCCATTTTCTTGATAAAAAATTCACTTTAACTGAATACGTAAGCGTAGATCCGTTTTAATCACCGTCGCCAATGTTATAAACGTAGGTATGCCGTCGCTAATTGTTATAAACGTAAAAGAGAGAGAGAGAGGATGCTGGCTATAACAGTTGGGGTTCTTGTTATAACAGTCCTTTTACTTGTTACACGTATGTGGGACGTTAATTTATCTTAGACGAAATCTACACTAGATTCCCACCCAGTGTCTATTCTACAGGACTTCAACAGAACTCAGATCAAGAACACAATATTAGCCTGACTATAACGTCAATATATTTCACACCAAAATCCGACACATGGAACAGTCCATCAATAAGTATCCAACATCAAGGAACAGTCAAGAAGTCAATACATAATAAGGATAGGGAAATATATATATATCACATAACACCTGTCATCCCCTCTAATGTCTGACTCATCGAGACAACCAATCATTGACATTCTCGCCCACACATCAGTGGTCAGCATGGTTTTGCTGAACAAAGACTTTGCACAACAACTCAATTGTCAGTGTTTGTTGTAGTTAGGTTTCTATTTGTAAATTCGTGTTAAGTGACACTTCTGTACTAAAGCATCTCGTTGTAATCGGGGATGTGATAAGTGAGGGAAAATTGGAAACTGAAACCTTGCAGTTAGTCATGCATTCGTAGGTACGACTAATACACTAACTCATCTTTCAAACAAAACATTGGGAAACAGGTTCGTTCTCAACAATGATTTTTTCTGAATGTTTGCAGTTGTCTGTTAGAATTGCGCGAGTAAGTATCAAGTTTTACTTTACTCCTTTTATGGCCGAAACCCTTCCTATGTTTTCCACCTACGATTTTGTACAGAGTTAGCTCTCCCTCGCGAAATGCTCTTACATGGCCACGCGCATACAACCACTGCCAGGAGAGTCCTACTCACTGCCTTCTCGTTGCGGGGGTGTTGTTTACGAAATTAAGAGGACGCAAAGCGAATGTCCGGCGCTTTAACCGGGTTGGTGGACACAGCGCGTCCACCTAGGGGAGTTAGAAAATTCTGATTCCAAACCAGTGGTGCACATGGGCCCCAGGATCCTGAGGGGACAAATGGCGTATGAACCAATTATGGGTTACCGGCTATCACGGGACTGTATCTCCTGACGTTGCTCCACTGCCTTGTGGATTAGACCTTTAGGTCAATGGCTCCGGATGTGGCCCCCTAAGAAAACTAACCACCCCTCACACAAGTCGAATGATTTATGTGGCGCATATCTGTTTGGTGCCTTCTTGTACTCAAGTGTATGTGTTTAAATAAATAATAACTTCCACTCATATTTGCTAGCATAAGTTCGGGCAATGGAATTATTGAATTTCTTCGTAGTAATGCTTTATGAATTTATATTTATTATCTTGAAGTCAGAGTTGTCTACGATATGTAACCAGTTACTTACTTACTTACTCCTGTTACCCCTCGTCGAGGAGCATAGGCCGCTCACCAGCGTTCTCCATCCAACTCTGTCCTGAGCCTTCCTTTCCAGTTCTTTCCAGTTACTATTCAGCCTTTTCATATCGGCTTCTATTTCCCGGCGTAGTGTGTTCTTTGGCCTTCCTCTTTTCCGCTTCCCTTCCGGATTCCAAGTTAGGGATTGAGTCGTGATGCACATTGGTGATTTTCTTAATGTATGTCCGATCCACTTCCAACGTCTTTTCCTAATTTCCTCTTCAGCTGGAAGTTGGTTTGTCCTCTCCCATGAAACGCTGTTGCTGATAGTATCCGGCCAGTGGATGTTGAGTATTTTTTGTAGACAACTATTTATAAATACTTGTACCTTCCTGATGATGGTCATAGTAGTTCTCCACGTTTCAGCTCCATACAGTAGGACTGTCTTGACGTTCGTATTGAAGATTCTGACCTTGAAATTAGTTGAGAGTTGTTTTGAGTTCCATATGTTCTTCAATTGTAGAAATGTTGCCCTTGCTTTGCCAATCCTCGCCTTTACATCTGCATCCGATCCTCCTTGTTTATCAACGATGCTCCCCAGGTACTTGAATGTCTCCACCTCTTCCAGAGTTTCGCCGTCAAGTGTGATTGGGTTGGTGTTCTCCGTGTTGCATTTGAGAATCTTGCTTTTTCCTTTGTGAATGTTTAGACCTATCGATGCGGAGGCTGCTGCTACATTTGCTGTCTTCATCTGCATTTGGTCGTGTGTATGAGAGAGGAGGGCTAGGTCATCTGCGAAGTCCAAATCATCTAATTGATTCTGAGCTGTCCATTGTATTCCGTATTTCCCTTCAGATGTCGAATTCTTCATAATCCAGTCAATCACTAGAAGGAAGAGGAATGGGGAGAGTAGACAGCCTTGTCTGACTCCGGTCCTTACTGGAAATGCACCTGTCAGCTGTCCTCCATGCACCACTTTGCACTGTAATCCATCGTATGAGTTTTGGATAATGTTGACGATCTTCTGAGGAACTCCATAGTGTCGAAGAAGTTTCCATAATGTTCTCCTGTCCACGCTGTCAAACGCCTTCTCGTAGTCAATAAAGTTGACGTATAGTGATGAGTTCCACTCAACTGATTGTTCAACGATGATCCGTAGTGTCGCAATCTGGTCTGTGCACGACCGATCCTTACGGAATCCAGCCTGATGATCCCTTAGTTCGGCGTCTACTGCGTCTTTCATCCGATTCAGCAGCACTCTGTTGAAAACTTTTCCTGGTACTGATAACAAACTGATACCTCTGTAGTTCTCGCATTTGCTCAGATCTCCTTTCTTTGGTATCTTGATGAGATATCCTTCTTTCCAGTCCGTTGGCACTTGTTCCTCTTCCCAAATCTTTTTGAATAGAAGGTGAAGCATGTTTGCAGTTATTTCAATGTCTGACTTCAGTGCTTCTGCTGGTATATTGTCAGGTCCTGCCGCCTTCCCACTTTTGATTTGTCTGATGGCCATCTTGACTTCTTCGATCGTTGGTGGAGTGACATCTATTGGAAGGTCTGTGTGGGCTGCTTCGATGTTCGGTGGATTCAATGGGGCTGGTCTATTCAGCAGTTCCTCGAAGTATTCTGCCCATCTTTTCTTCTGTTCTTGAATCTCAGTGATTGTCTTTCCTTCTTTGTCTTTGACTGGTCTCTCTGGTTTGCTATATCTCCCTGCCAATTTTTTCGTTGTATCATATAGTTGTTTCATATTCCCTTCTCTTGCAGCTTTTTCCGCCGCCGTTGCTAGTTCTCCCATGTATTTCTGTTTGTCGGCTTTAATGCTTTTCTTCACCTGCTTGTTTGCTTCTGCGTAGTCTGCTTGTGCTTTGACTTTCTCTGCTCGTGTTCGGCTGTTGTTAATTGCTAGTCTCTTGTTCTTCCTTTCTTGAATTTTGTCCAGGGTTCCCAGAGAGATCCATTCCTTGTGATGATGCTTCTTAGGACCAAGAACCGCCTGACACGTTGAAGTCAGTGCTTCTTTTATCCCTTTCCAGTTGTCCTCCAAAGTAGTTTCTTGTTCTTTCAGTAGATCCTGTAGAGCTTGGAACATATTGTTGAGAGTTATCTTGAATTCTTGGAGCTTGTCAGCATCTCGAAGGAAGGCTGTATTAAACCTTTGTAGTGCTGTTTGTCCAGTTGTCCAGTCTTTCTTAAGCTTCAGTCTCATTTTGGCCACAACCAGGTGGTGATCTGAAGCTATGTCAGCTCCTCTCCGGGTTCTTACATCTTCCATTGATCTTCGGAATTTTTTGTTCATACAGATGTCATCTATCTGGTTCTCTGTGGTATTGTAGTGCCGTGCTTCGATCATAGTTCGCTTCGATAACCGTTATTAATACCAATCTTAACGGTGTATAATATCAGAAGGCAAAGGGAAGCGGCAACTACATTTTTATTGATAATCGATGCAGACCAGAAAGTTGTAAGCACATGAGCAACTGTAAGCAAGCGAAGCAAAGATGATGCATATTGGAGATGGCTGGGAAGCCAACTCATTTTAAGCAAGCGTTAACTAACATTTATAGGCAGGCAAAAATGAGTGACAGACATATGATGAATAAGATACGAAGTGTACACATATGCGCTCATATAAAAAGTACTCAAGGTTAATAAGCAAATGATTAACAAGATCAAAAGATGACTCAATGTACAGGTGAATTGGCTTGGCCAGTAACTAGAATAAAGTATATGGGCCTAACATATGAACTGGTACTACAGTATGGTCCGGTGAGATCCATGTAGCTTTGTGTATGCGTTTGTGTGGGAATATTGTGCCGCCTATAACCAATTTGTTGAAAGCACATAGGTTTGCAAGTCTCTCCCCATTTTCATTTCTTTCTCCTAGTCCGTGTCGTCCGATTATATCTTCATATCCTGTGTTGTCCACTCCAACTTTAGCATTTAGATCTCCCATCAGGATGGTGAGGTCCTTTCTTGAGCACTTTGCTACAATTGATTGCAGTCTTTCATAGAACTGATCTTTATCATCGTCGTTGCTATCATTGGTGGGTGCATAACATTGAATAACGTTCATTGTGATCCCTTGCTTCTTTGTTCTGAATGATGCTTTGATTATCCTGGGTCCATGAGATTCCCATCCCACAAGTGCATTTCTTGCTTCTTTGGACAGCATTAGAGCAACTCCCTGAATGTGTGGAGCATTTTCCCCTTCGTGACCGGAGTACAGCAGCATCTCTCCTGTACCTAGCCTTTGTTGTCCAGTTTGTGTCCAATGGGTTTCGCTGATTCCGAGTACTGCCAAGTTGTATCTCCGCATTTCCATTGCTATTTGGCTGGTCTTTCCTGTCTCCCACATTGTCCGGACGTTCCATGTACCTATAAAGAGTGTTGTTCTGGTTGTTAGAAGGTGCATCGGTCTCGTGACTTCCGAAGAATTTCGGCTTTCATCATGAGACGTCATTATTCCTTCAACTCCCAGAGCAGAGTTTAAATGGTTTGAATTATTTTTTCTGGTTAGCGTTTTTTTAGCGAGTTAGCTTTTCTACGGGATGGGGTCGCTAACCCCATGCCCAACCCTCCTCCTTTACCCGGGCTTTGGACCGGCAGTAACTCTAGAAGAGCTACAGGCGGAGTTATGTAACCAGTACTTTTCCAATAATTTATATTGCTAATATTTTGCTAAAACTTTCGCCAAAAAAGTTTTACTTCCCTAAGAAGTTAGAATCAGAAAGTTATTTCTCGTATGTAATGAAATCAAGATACGATAGAAGTCCAAGAAGCCTTTAACATGTTTTTATTTTTGTAGAGGATATAAAATTTGAATGTAATAATCCAGGGGTATAGAGATGTTCATTCTTTTCCTTATGATAGCTGATAGACATGAATATTTTTCCTCCGAACTCTATACTACATCATACTTTATGTTGTTTGGGTTTGTGTTTAATTTCGACCCATTTTTTTCCCACTACTTTTAGCATCACTGTCGTCGATGTGGCCATGCTGTTTGTGACAAATGTTCTCCTTATCGATCTAATCTACCGTGCATGGGTTTTGAAAAAGATGTTCGTATATGCAGTCAATGCTTTCCTCTAATAACTGATTCAGAGTAGGTGATTTTAAAATTGGTCCATTTTTTATCTATTCGTAAATAGCGGTAACTGAGGCTCTAATATTAATACTTAAGGTCCACTGCATTCAATCAAATTTGAATTTCGGTCCCTTCTACTTTGTCGCGGACTATCAAGTAGTATATATAGCGCTGACAAATATCTATCGCCTGTATTTGGTTACTAAGTCGTTTAATTCACTGTGGTAGTCATTTCATTGTGTAGACAATTAGTATTCAGGATCGATGTTTGTCCGTTTAATCAGTTTTCTAACGAAAATATACGTCGAATTTTTCAGAACCAGATGTGCCCAGAGCACTTGAGTTATGAAGTATGACGAGTGTTTTAAAATTCCCTCATACAAATTTTGTACTACCAAAGCGCGGACTGTTTGTCAGATGCACTTTTACGCTTAACGAATTCGTTAGGTTGAGAGCAGTAATAAATCTTAAAGTGGAAGTCTGATATTGTTGATATAGTAATATTCAATATAATATATAGAACTTGTAAACTATATTCGTAAAGTTCTTGTTTTTTTATTGGTTTCCAGTTATTTCCCTTGTTATGGTACATTTTCATCCCCCTCCAGTGCTCTAGTACGACTGAAGATGGAGAGAGTTCGCTATCAGCCACCGATGGAGGGCCTCAATAGAAGTGTTTCTCGTTCTGGAGCACGTGCTTAGATTCGGATCATGCCCTAGTGCAAGCGCGTATTTGTCTGCGTCTTACTGAACATAGGAAAGACGCTGCAAGGAAACCTCTTAGGGCTCTACTTAATGATAGCCTAGCTAAGAATATATTTCAGGAACTACTAGAAAAACAGTTAGACAGCCATATAAGTGATGCTTACGCCGAGGCAGCTTGGAATGATATCCGAAAAGCTATGAAAACAGCAGTGATATCTGCTAGTACGGTAAACCATAAGGTTAGGGAGAAGTACTGGAGCTCAGCAGCATCTACCGCACTGATAGATGCTCGAAAACTCATCCCATCTGGCTCTGAACATGAAGAGTGGAGTCAGCTTGAGCACAGGCTGATAAGAAGCCTACGCAATGATCGCGAACAGTGGTGGATAACGAAAGAAAGAGAAATGGAAAAGACAGTGGCTATAGGCAACAGCAGGCAACTGGTCAGACTTGTCAAGGAAACTGGTATTAAAAATACAACTATTAAAGAAACTATCTTGGAAAAAGATTGACATATTATTCACTCTCAGTCCAGATTAGATCGATGGGCAGAACACTTTAGGAATAAGTTCGACTAGACTTCAACCACACTTTGGCTTCCCACAATTTCCAATTGACCTGAATGGCAAGTTGATGTAAGTCCTCCAACTCTTTACGAAGTTGATAAAAACTATAGGAAATCTGAAGCGAAGGATAGCAACAGGCCCTGACAGGTTTGCCGCTGAGATTTTTAAGGATGGCGGTTCAATATTAGCAGTGAAATTGACTGAGGTCTTATGTAGAATCTGGGAATAGGACGTAGTCCCATTTGACTGGTCTAAATCACTGATTGTGCCAGTCTATAAGAAAGGACAAAGGTCCTCTTGTGACAATCACAGATGAATCAGTTTGACTAATATAGTGTCTAAAATATTAGCTTCAATAATACTTCGACGCCTAACCAAAGCTCATGAAAAGCAGACTATAGAAAACCAGGCTGGTTTTCGACCTGGACGTGGCTGTATAGAGAAGATATTCACTCCACGTCAGGTCCTAGAATATAAAGGCTATCTACTCGAACAAAACTGGTCGAGTTAGAGCTTATGGCGAACTGTCGTCAGAATTGATTACCTCGAGTGGTGTTGATCAGGGCTGTCCATTCTTGCTTAACTTTGTCATGGACATGCTTTTGGAAATAACACTTTCCTCATCTAAATTTCCAGAAGTTGAACTTTTACCGGGAGATTCACTTGCTGACTTAGAATATGCCGATGACATAGTTCCCGACCGTTGCTGCTACCTTGACGTGGTGGTCGGGCTTGCCTATCGTGATGATCCAATCGAGCTATGCTGGCTGGAACAATCGTTCCTCGAGGTCCTACCATGCCAGACAGGTCGGTTGAAGAGCGGTGAGACTAAAAGCAGCAAACCCAAGGTCCGAAGGCGAAGTCGTACTGCTGACTGTACAGAGGTGTGAAAGCAGTAAGGTGTTTCCTTCAGACAACCAGCATGACAGCGATGCTGCCTTCCCACAAGGAGGGGTGGGGTTAGAAAAGGTCGACCCTAAAAATGCACACCTCGCCTTATCCCACGGATATCCGTCTCCGGCGGTAAGGTTTTTTTTGAAGAACGGAGCTAACACAAAAACTACCCACAAAATGGTCGTGTGTGACCGACCTCAAGCAGTTGTCCCTTGGGCACTGCGGTCACACTCTCAGGTCATTAAGACCACTTCTAACCCAATTTCCTTTTCAGGTACCTCTAGAAGAATCCTTCCACGGTGTGGGCAACCGGGAAGTGATAACTGCCCTCATACCTCTAACAACACTCAAGACCACTGTATTCATAATCAATCTCCTTCTTCAATTCCTACTACCTTGACTTTCAACACTAAACTTCCTCTCTCGGTTTCCTCCTCAAGTGTCACCATGGCCAACGATTCTAGTGCGCGAAACGCTATCCCAGGTCTACTAAAACCTCGCTCCAAACTACACATTGGAGCCTTCAACGTACGTACTTTAAGTCAAATCGGTCAACAGGCCTCCTTAGCTAAAACCTTAGAGTCGCGTACCATTGATGTATGCTGTGTCTCCGAAACACGCATACAGGATCCTAGTGTGGTCATTCACTTGACCTCACCTCGCCAAAATGGACAGCCAACGAAATACACCCTCCGTGTATCTGGCGACCCGTTGGCTAGTTCTCGTGGACTTGCAGGTGTAGGTATAGCACTAAGTACAAGGGCAGAACAGGCACTATTAGAATGGATCCCCGTTAACAGTCACCTGTGTGCTGTCCGGCTAAATGGCTCCGTAAGAACTCGGAAGGATAGGGACACACGTCGTTGCCTTTTCGTCGTTTCTGCCTACGCTCCCACTGACTGCAGCCATGATGAGGTGAAAGATGACTTTTACAGAAAGCTCTCTGAGCTTCTTCACAAACCTAAGCGCTCAGACATAGTAGTCGTAGCGGGTGACTTTAATGCCCAGGTAGGCAGCTTAAATCAAACAGAAAGACACCTAGGTGGGTGTTTTAGTATTCCGGCTTAACGAACCGATAATGGTGATCGTCTGTTGCAACTATGCTCAGACAATCGTTTATTTTTGGCAAGCACTAATTTTAAACATAAGGAGAGACATCGTCTAACATGGCGACCACCTGCACCAAACCAACGATGGACTCAAATAGACCATATTGTCATCAGTCATCGTTGGAGAGGCTCAATAGAAGATTGTCGCTCGTATTGGAATACTTGTTTAGACTCTGATCACGCTTTAATACGAGCACGCATTTGTCTGCTCCTCAATGGACGCAGGAAAAGTAAACTAAGAAGACCCGTTAGGATTGAACTGGAGGACGAGAAAGCCAAATGCGAATTCCAGAGACAACTGAGTTCACATCTAGGCAGTTCTGTAAACGAGACTGACCCAGATGCTGCTTGGAAAGGCATACGAACAGCTGTGGAAACAGCAGTACCATCTATTAGTCATTTAAACCATAGGGCTCCAAAAAACCAGTGGATTTCTTCTAAGTCTATTTCACTGATGGATTCGCGTAAACTCATACCATCAGGCTCTGAACATGACGAAGAGCGTAAACAAATTAGATCTAGGTTAACTAAAAGTCTAAGGAACGATCGTGAGCAGTGGTGGGCAACGAAAGCAAAAGAGATGGAAAAGGCAGCGGCTGTAGGCAACACCAGGCAACTATTCAGACTAATAAAAGAAACTGGAATTAAGAAGTCAAGTGTAAGTGAGACGATCTCGGAAAAAGATGGAACCCTTATCTGCTCTCTACCCAAACGTTTAGAACGATGGGCGGAACACTTTAAGGAGCAGTTTAGCTGGCCTTCAGCTACTGCACAACTACCCACTATTCCTAGAAAAGCTGAATGGAACATTGAAGTAGGCCCCCCGAACCTACTTGAAGTTCAAAAGGCTATAGGTAATCTGAAACGAGGAAGAGCAGCTGGTCCTGATGGATTGGCTCCAGAGGTCTTTAAATATGGTGGTCCAATTTTAGCGATTATGTTGACTAATATTCTGGCTGAAATCTGGGAGACGGATGTAATCCCATCCGACTGGTCACAATCACTGATTGTCCCAATATATAAAAAGGGGTCAAAATCATCCTGCGATAACCATAGAGGGATTAGTCTGACTAACATAGTATCTAAAATACTAGCCTCAATAATTATCAGGCGCCTAACTAAAACTCGTGAACTGCAAACACGAGAAAATCAGGCTGGCTTCAGACCTGGTCGTGGCTGTATCGACCACATATTCACCATTCGTCAAGTTTTAGAGCACAGACATGCTTATCGGCGTCCGACGATGATAGTTTTTCTTGACTTGAAAGCAGCATTTGACTCTGTAGACCGAGAGGTTCTGTGGCAGTGTCTGTCATTGAAAGGTGTACCTGAGAAGTACATAAACCTTGTGAAGGCTCTTTACTCGAACACTATCAGTCGGGTGAGAGCTTATGGCGAACTGTCATATGATTTTACAACCTCAAGTGGTGTCCGTCAAGGCTGTCCACTATCCCCATTTTTGTTTAACTTCATTATAGACCTGTTGCTGGAAATGACACTCTCGTCGACTGAGTTTACAGGAATTGATCTCCTACCAGGGGGACCACTAAGCGACTTAGAATACGCAGATGACATAGTCCTGTTTGGTGAAGACACTGACAAAATGCAGAGTCTTCTGTTGGAACTGAGTAATAATGCCACGATGTTTGGGATGCGTTTCTCCCCATCCAAATGTAAATTGTTACTCCAGGACTGGCCTACGTCAACACCTGAACTAAGGATAGGGAGTGAAGTAGTCGAACGCGTCGACAACTTCACTTATCTTGGAAGTCTGATCAGCCCTAATGGATTGGTGTCTGACGAAATCTCAGCACGGATTCAAAAAGCTCGTTTGGCTTTTGCCAACTTACGTCACCTATGGCGAAGACGAGATATCCGTCTATCAATTAAGGGACGAGTATACTGCGCAGCAGTTCGTTCTGTTCTACTTTACGGCTGTGAAACATGGCCATTAAGAGTAGAAGATACTCGTAAGTTACTAGTATTTGACCACAGATGCCTTAGAAATATTGCTCGCATCTGCTGGGTTCACCTAGTAAGTAATAGTGAGGTTAGACGCAGGGTATTAGGTAACGATGGTAAATCAGTTGATGAGGTGATAAATCTTCATCGACTGAGATGGTTGGGCCATGTGTTACGTATGCCTGAACACCGATTACCACGACGCGCTATGATGACTAGTATTGGGGACGGTTGGAAGAGAGTTAGGGGCGGCCAAACCAAAACATGGCATCAGTGCTTGAAGTCACTAACTTCTAGCCTGAGCCATGTTGGCAGATGCAGACTACCTGGTTGGGGTCCGCGTGACTATCGTAATAAATGGTTGGAGACTCTAGGTGACATGGCTCAGAATCGATCACAATGGCGTAGGTGTATACACTCTTTATCTTCCCTTAAACCTTGATATTAAAATTGTTTCATATCTCTCTTCCTTCCTACTATATCCTTATATACAACCTTTCCTTATATACTACCACCACTAAATTAATTACTTCTATGAATCCGGTGTTCATCTTGTTGTGCTAAAGAGGTATGGCAACTTGGACCGATGCATATATGTGCCTGGTCCTACGTTGTAGCTGACTGACTGACTGATGACATAGTCCTATTTGATGAAGACGCTGACAAAATGCAGTCTTCTGACCGCCGTAAGCAATTCTCCTCCTCGAAGTGCAAAATGTTACTTCAGGATTAAGTTGCATCAACACCTGAACTAATGATAGGGAGTGAAGTAGTTGAACGTGTTGACCGCTTCACTTATTTTGGTAGTCTCATCAGTCCTTGTGGTCTGGTATGTGGCGAAATGTCAGCACGGGTACAGAAGGCTCGACCAGCTTTCACCGACTTACGTCATTTATAGCGTAGGTGAGGCATCCGTCTACCAACCAAAGTAAGGGTTTACTGCGCAGCAATTCGTCCGTCCTACTTCATGACAGTGAAACATGGCCGGTAAGAGTAGGGGATATTCGTAGGCTACTAGTATTCGATTATAGGTGTCTTCTGGCAGTTCTCGTATATCCTATGACCACCGAGTAAGTACTGCAGTTGTTAGGAAACAGGTACTAGGTAAGGATGGCAGACCGATTGATAAAGTAGTGAAACTTCATCAGTTGAGATGGCTGGGACACATGTTACGTATGCCCCACCACCGACCGCCCCGACGTGCAATGTTTTATGGTGTAGGAGTAGGTTGGAAGAAAGCTAGGGGCAGCCGGACCAAAACATAGCACGAATTCATGGACAAGTGGACTGAGGCATGTTTGTAGGTGTAGACTACCTGGCTGTGATCCGCGAGATGATAGCAACCGATGGTTAGAGACCTTGAATGACATGGCTCAGAATCGTTTGCAATGGCGCAGGTGCATTCACTCTCTGTGTTCTCCCAAATTCTAATCTTAATTCTTGATGTCGCTTTCTTTTTTCTCTTTCCAAATTTATTTCACTGGATTATACCCCTTGAATAACATCTTCAAACCCTAATCTTTCGGATTGCTGCTTATACTTTTACTACTTCTACCACTATGGGATTTGAATCGACGATTGTATCTGTGTTCTAATGTGGTATGACAACTTGAACTGATGTACTTACGTACGTACGTACGTACGTACGTACGACACCCTACGTTGTTGCTGACTGAGCCTCTCCAAATACCCGCACATGACCCCGCGTATACAGCTATTGCCAAGGTAGTCGTACTCATTGCCTCTTCATGTTGCGAGTGTTGTGTACAAGATCGAGAGGACGAAAAGTGGAACGTCTAGTGGTGAAACCGGGATAGGAGATACGGAGGATCCACCTAGGGAATTCTAAAATCCATGACTCCAAACCAATGGTGTACATGATCTCCAGGATCCTGACAGAACAAATGGCATATGAACCTATTCTTGGTCGCTGGCTACTATGAGACTGCATTTCTTAACGTAGCTCAACTCCTTTGTGGATTAGACCTCTGGGTCAAAGACTCGGGGAGTGGCCCTGTAAGAGAACCACCTGCTTCGGTTTAGGCACCTGGGTGGTATTTCAGCCCACATAAATCATTGAATTTGTGTGGCACATATATATTTCGGAGTCCCTTTGAGCCAATGTTTATGTCTTTAAACAAATGAATATGGTACATTTTCGTCAGGCGAAACAACATGGCTTAATTATTATTAACTGACTTTGTTTCGGTATCTTTTAGCCGTAGAAGTTTGGCTATTTCGTTTGATGCTCGTCATCCTGTTACATGTATTCGCGTAGAGGAATCCTTGAATTTACTTCTAACGGTTGGGAAAGATCGGATTATCAAGGTAACTACAACAACTATGTAACTTTTTGACATTTAAAGTAGGTCAAAGAGACTCGTGTAATAAATAAAGGGATAACTCCAGCAGACAAACTTCACTAATGCTGAGTATGTCTTCTATCTACAGCTTACATTATCAGACGTTCTATCATGATATAAACAAACACATTACTAAAGTGATATCTTGTTGGGTTTTTGGTAATTCATGTACTCAGGTTCACATTAAGCCAATAATAATGACCATAGCAAAAATTATTAATAATAACAGCAGTAAAACCGTTTTCTATAAAACATTTCCACAGAACATATGAGTCATTTCGTTAGCATTGATTTGTGAAGTTATGATTTTAATGTTATACTTCTGAGGTAGGTTTTGAACTGGACTGAGAAAAAGCTAAGAAAATTCGATGTGGCAGTGGACTGACCAGCTGAAGTTAGGCTAGACTTGTGTGAGCGAACATAACGTTTTTCCAATATTCATAATTTTAGCCATTGAAGCATTCCACTTAATCCTTTAGTAAACCAATTAGATTCTTTGTTTAAGCGTAATTAAATAACCATACAACACGCTTGGAAAACTTAGTTTAATGTTACGTCGAATTCTATAAAGAGTGTTTCATTGATAGGGTAAAATAATATAGTATTGTTCACGTTGATTACCTCTCCGGAAAGGTATCATTTAGTTTTCTTTCTGCTACCAACAAACATGATGAGTTTCTTTAGAGAATTGTTGAATACCTTCCACACATGAAATCTTCAGTGTGAAATTTATTCTAACAGTTCAAACAAACACGGTTGGCATGCTGTTTGTTTCACACTAGGTTCGACCGAGTATCTACGTCTATTTTACTTGAGTATGGCAAAACAAGCTTACTGGACGTTGATTATATTGGCCTCTATATTTTCAATGTGTATAGGTCTTATGTGAAAATGTAAATGAGGTATATAAATTATACAATAGCTAGTCAGTTGTGTATAGTAACTGAGCACTATGATATTCAAGAAGTCACTAGTACGAATTTATTTGCTGACTGTGGCATTGCTTTCACTGTAACAATAGTTTCTGTGATTGTACTATCGTTCAACTTGCTAAGAATGAGTAGATTCGAATGTATAACTATCAGTCAGTGTTGTTTTGGTTGAATTTAGGGATTTCAGAGCACAAAGCAATGTATTTTGGTACCTAACTACTTAAATTACTGAATGTAATCAACTCTCGTTTAAAAAAACGTGTTATTAAACTTGTGTATACGTTTTTCTGTAATTATAATTATTGACGAGTTTACGGCTTCTTCATTTTTAGGTGTGGGATATCAAAGCTTTTTCATCAAATCCACATTCATAAACTGTATACCCTACAAATACTCTTTTATGTGATTTATTTGATAGGATTATTTTCCACCTTTCATGGTGCATACACCAGTGATTTTGAAACACTTTATTCTTCCTTATGTTCTACGACACATTTGATTTTGAAAATATGTTTTATTTGAAATTATCTAAAAATGATCTCATAATTTTGAATAAGATATATAGGCATAAACTCTATAATATATTTACGTTTCCTCATGAATTTACTGTACATATCAAAAGTATTTTAGTGTCTTTCTAATGTAGTGTAAGATGATGCTGTATGTAAAATCCTTGCTTACTAATATTAAAGCTAACTTACCACATATTATTCAGAAGTTAGTCTTATTTAGTTTCGTTAGTTCGATATTGATAGACAGGAAAAGCTAAAACTCTGCACTAGTTGAGTTTGCCATAGTTGAAAACGGTAGCCTCCTTGTCTCGGGGCCAAACTATGTCATATTATTCACCTAACTAGAATATAATGCCTGCGGGGTGGAAAATAGTTCGTAAGAAATATAAGTTACAGACACGTCCTTTGAATAATACTGAAGGCCACGGTAGTACACAGTCAACAGGGTAAAGTACAATTCAGTTAGTCAACTATCTACAACGCAGGACCAGGCACATATATATATGCATCAGTAAAAGTTGCCACATCTCATTAGCACAACAAGATGATCACCAAATTCACAGAAGCAGTTACTCCAATGATAGTAATATATAAAAAAAAGATCGTGTATAAGGATATATACAATACAGGAAGAAAGAATTAGTTCGTAGAAAGAAAGGTATAGAGTAATTTTAATTTTCAAGCCATTATGTTGCAAAATCTCTCGGACATCAACCATAGAGTCGTGAAGAACTAATTGATCCCAGTCCTGTACAGACATGTAGGGGCTTCAAGGTGCTAGCTGTAGTTTGCGCAAGGTTAAAGTAGACAGTCACCGTTGCCTGACTTGAGCAAACAAGTTCCCTCTGGGCAACCAAATGACTCTGATCTGTGCTCAGATGCCAGATCTGCACATTCAAACCTCCAGCTAGCATTGCAGTGTCTGTTGAACGCGTTTTCTAGAGACCAATCAGTTGGTAGTAGAATCCACCCTTGATTGGATCCGAGCTACAACCTGTCCAAATGTAGGAATCGTTTCCCACCGATCCCGTCTCACTTTGACGAAGCTTTCTAATCAAGAAGCACAAAATTGGGGATCCGACCAAATGTTGTTGCTTCAGCTCTGGTACTTAGTGAGACATGAATGTCAGAATGACCATAGGAAGATATCACACGGTTTTTGGATAAAAGCATATAACACAAGTTTTCCGAATCAACAGATGGGAGTGAATGAGTAGGAGTTCAATAAGCTTTTGGGCACGGGTCCAATAGATAACAGAACTGGATTTTAAGATAAGACTTCCTTAAGACAACGAACTCTGTCTATTATCCGACCTAGATTAGCGAGCGAACGGTCAAGCAGGCCAGTTCGCGTGGTGCACGTGGTTTCCTAAAGGCTGGTACAGAATTCGTGTTTGGTGGTAGAATTTAACTTTCAACCCGTCAGTTACTTCAGATCGTTTAAACAGGACAGGCCTTCCGCCATTGGCGAGCTGCTGTATGAGTTGAGAAATAAAAGAATACACTAAATGAGAATAAAAGTGAGTAGAAAAATGACGCAATCTCAGGTAAGAACGAGTGTTACAGAATAATTGTAAATATAATTTGCGAGAGTAATTTCCGCGGTCATACTGATTTGATTGTTATGTGAGCTAGCATACCGCCCGTTGGCCCAGACCAAAGCAGGACGTTAATGTTAGTTACTTTGGTTGTTATTCACATATACACAAGCTACTTGACCATTTCAGATGCCACGCCACCAGGATCGAGTCTAATTAGTCTGTATGGCACCAACCAGTACGGTTTCTGAAAAACTAATCATCATATTGTTACTGTTTCCATTATATTGCCAAAGCGGGATTTAGTCGACCATAACATAGAGCTTGGCACGAATATGGATTGTCCAAGGTTGCCATACTATGGCCGCACAAAGAAATGGAAGTGAATAAACGAACAGCAATAGAATCGACATATTGTAGTAGCAATAGTAACGAGGAAGATTGAACACTGAGGACTTGGTGCTAGAAGGCAGAATAGGCTGTATTCATAGAGGAATACTGGGACACAAGATCTATTTGTGCCATTGTGACCGACTCTAAACCATGTCACTCGAAGTCTTTAACAACTGATGGGGGAATTGTAGATCAATGTTTATTTCGGGAAGTACTATCTAACCCAGCTGGTGGTTTTGAACATGTGGGAGGTGGTTGCATTTCATTCTGCCTAAGGTTCTCTTCCTAACGAGGCTTTCAAGATATCTGATCGCTTGAAGGAAACCGTTTCCCACTAAGCCTTTTTCATCACATCGAATCTATTATCACGAAAGAAAAAGGTGGTTGGCCTGCAATACATGACGGGTTTCAAGACACTATCAATACATATATTAGTTATTCATACGGAACGTTAATAAGATATTTGCATTTGTCTAGTATATATTTGAGAGAAATTAGTAAGGCGAAGAGCAAAGTGAATACAATAATGATGAATAGCAGCGGAAAACTAAATATTATAAATGTAGCTCAAAAATGATAGGGATTACAAGGTAAAACTGTTACCAATAAAGAAAGGATAGATATTGGAAATAACTGTGATATCATGAGCCTATCTAAGGTTTGAGAGTCAGTTATCGCGCTGACACCAGTTAGGAGATACGGACTTCGCAATGCGACATACACTAAAAGTCAATTACTTTTCGTTTTGATTTGGCTACCCCTATTTGATTTCCAACCTAACTACTAGTAGAGGGCACAACCTAAACAAAACCGAACGTGTTACATAAACTGGGTAGGATAATGAAAGTCTATTTCGGACATCAGTAGATTTATACTCTGATAGCTATCACGTGTATTACACAAATTGTTTTAGAAAATGAACACAACAACCGCTTTGTTTTGAAATGCTGAGGAAACTTAGATTTACTTTTTCACATAATCCAGACACACTTCACCAGGATTTTATTTACACCTCTGAGAAAGTTCGAGTGACTTTCATCTGACTGAAGTTCACCCAGAAGTACTCTATATGAGATAGGTTCGCACTTAAAGACGGAGGAGCATAGAAGTTTAATGAAAGCTACTTATAATTGTTTTTTGAAGCCCACCCTACCTAGGGAAGTATAGATTTGGGAAGATTGTTAGCTGGGGTCGCAGCCAACTCAGATTGCTCGACCGATACTAAGTTTTTCTTGCCATTGATTGAAATGGTCTTGAACAACTGGTGGGTACCGGATGCAACTGTCACCAACTCGAGTACCAGGTTCGAAAGTCCTTGAGTAGGCTTGATGAAATTTTTCATGTAGGTGTACTCAAACGGCACACAGTACTATGTTTGAAACAGAATTACTCGACAACTGGAAAGCGAATTTAGTACGTAGACTAGAGGATAGGTTGGAAATAATTAAATGCTCGAAAAGTAGCCAAAAAAGTGACAATGTTGTGAAGAAACACGAAGAAAGTTACCAGTTGCGCACATGACTTTCATGATGCTGAGGGGTAGGGAGGGGTACGAATTTACTTTGCATACCGACTATTATGGGGATGTACTCTATTGTCTTGTGTGTTAAATATTCAAGTTAAATGTTCAGGGGAGTGGTATTTCCTCAAGAAAGGTATATGCTTCGGTTTGAGTGTATAAACAGTGGAAAGTCAGTACTAGTAAAAAAGTAACTGCAATCTGAGATGGCAGAGACGGTTGTTGCTATCCGATATGCGCATTTAGGTGCTCAGCTAGCACAGCCAAAACTATCAGAGTCCTTCAGTATTTGTCAGGACTCAAACTTGATTGCTTCTGGACTTAAAGGGTAGCAGAACACGAGTGAGGACATGGTCACTTAGTTTTGCTTAATACACGGCTTTTTGTACAGCAACACCAATGAGAATGAATATCGAGACCACAAGGTTTTTGAATGGATACACATGAAAACTGGTCGAACTGACAAACAGAAAACAAACTTCTACTGCTTCGTCGGAATTTGTATAGTGGTCAGTCAGTCATTTACAATTGTAACCGTTGTTGTTCAAACTACGACCCTGCTGTTTGAACGGAAACCAATAGTTTTTCTCAGGGAACACTACTAGATTTTTTAATTCACAGGTCTGATCCCGGATCTAGTGAATCAACGCTACAAAACATTCTTATTATAGCTTGTGGCAACAGTAAGCTTATATGCCAACAAACCTAGTGGTGGTACCACGTGACTAATTTAAATAAAGTTAGTGCTATAGTACGAACTATGCAGCTGGATACATGATGACCTTAACAGATAATCTTTAAGTGAAATAAATATTCCTTTGTGAATACCGAACACGGTACATAAATAATATTAACATAGAAAGATAATAAACATTTTGAAGTGTTTTATTTATTTATAATGCTCGGGAAAAGTTAAACAATATCTCAAACGTTGTTTAGCAAGGGAAGCATCTAATTCATCTTGCATTAATGGTAAGAACATTGGAGCACCGCTTTCAAGAAAAACATTTGACGGAGTTTTTTCCAAGTGCTCTAACTGCTTCCTGACATACTTAATCAATATTTCGATTTGTTGAAAGGTAGTTGTTGGACAAGAGAACCATATATTGCTCCACAGCGCACCAGCTAAGTGTGAGTCTGAGCAGGATAGTAAAGCTTCATCATATCCGACCATATTGCCAAAATATTGCCCACGAAAAACTCTTATCTGCTTAGAGCTTTTCGTTAAGATTTTGAATGCACGCACTCTGTGTCCCATATCTTCCCAAAGAGCCTAAGAAAATCTGGTTAAAGGTAACACTGACAATACCCTGTCCATCCATTTTTTTACGATATGTCCTTCTTCTCCTTCTTGGCGTAGACGCACGTAGCACATCCATATGTGTAGTATGGTTAGTGAGAACCATGTTTGAAACGTATCTGGGAGCTTAAGATGTTGCACAAAATCTTCAAACACAGGGTACTCCGCACAGATTATGAATAAGTTTTCACCAGAAATACGAAGGGTTCTGTTTGGATATTGTAGTTTACCAGTTAATCCAAAGAAATATTTTGTCTTTGTAAGTGCTGTTGACGGAATAAAGTTTAGTTTATGTGGATGTGAATGACGAGAAGACACATGGTTAACGTTCCTCCATATATTAAAATTCCACAGCCTTTGCAAATTCATATTTAATATAACAGAAGAAAAGTTACGCGTTTGCTTCTGTTCTTTATATTAGTCAATTTTCAGTTCTAAAAGGTTGGTGAACACCGACCTAGTTAACTGATATGGTAGTGGGTTTCGGGCATTAATAGCACTATACCACAACCAAAATTTGAGTGGTGGAGTCAAACAAAGTTGTTTTTGTAATGGCCTTTTCAGATTTTATTGCTAAAACGGGAAAAAATTGCGCTCAATATTTAAACACAAGACTTGAGGCAGAATAGTCTAATGTATTCTGACCAGTAATCAGAATTTAAAATAATATTCTAAAATCAGAGCTTAAATTGTGATTAAAAAATAAACTAGTTATACAAGAAATTCATGTACGTATTTGGGAAACTACTCCCAACTAAATTTAAATCCTGAGATGTAAAATATGAGTAAGTGTGTTGTACAAACAGTAAGAAACTTTTTGAACTCAATTAAATTTCTCGCTACTTGAAACGATAATTCTCAGATGACGATTAGTAAAATGATATCAGAGTTATGAACGGTGACAACTAGTTGCCTGGGTCTCTTTCGATGACAAATACTGCCACACAATCTCACCATCAACAGATTCAAACGCCACCTTAAGGCCAAAGCACACGATTATATTCAGAGGGCGAAAAGTATGTCTGTTTTCCAGAGTCTGCAAAAGGATGAGTACTTGGCCAATACATCCATATTCAGGTCTGAGACTAGCTTGCTTTTCACAAGCTCTAGTTAGACATTGAAGTACTTCAGAAACCAATATTTTAGTTAGACTGATTCCTCCGTGGTTATTACGAAAAAATTTTGTCTTTATGGATTGGGGCGTTCAGCAATCGAGACGAGATTATGTCTAGTTCCCAGATTCTACCCAAGATTCCAGTCAGTCTAACCGTTAAAACTGCACCCAAAGGGGTCAGTTCATAAATCTCTGCTGCTCTCTTTTTATTTAGATTGCTTATAGCTCACAAAGAGTTGGAGAACTTACATCAAATCGACATTCAGGTTGCTAAAAGATAGTAGGTAACTGAACAATGACTGAAAGCAAACAACTTTTCCCATTGGTCAAATCTTCTGGATTGAAAGTGAATAACGGTCCCATCTTTTTCCGAGACAGTTTCATTAGCAACCGGATTTTTAATATCCGTTTTCCTGAAAAATTCGAATGCTTCTCTGTTGTTCCCTAACACCACTGCCTTTCCTATACCTGCTTTCGCTGTCCACAGCTACTCACGTTTATTACGTAGACAGTTTGTCAGCATATGTCTAAGTACCCTCTGCTCCTCAGTGTTCAGAGCCAGGAGTTTCCGAGGGTCTATCAGTTCTGTATACGCCTCCGAAATTCACTGGTTTTTCTCACCTTTTGACATAAGTTACCAGTAGATATCATTACTGATTACGCAGCTGTTTGGTTATCATACCAAGCTACTCTGGGGTTATATCACTTTATACCTACAAATATGGTTCAAATCAACGGTCGGTGTCTTAATGGACTTATGCCATGTCCGAGTTTGATGACCTCAGTTTTCGAGATTACATCGATATCAGACCTTTCTGATCCGGTTATACTACGTATCACTGTTGTTTCATCTCTTGATTGTCATTTAATTTGTTTACCCCCAAGCTAAGATCAAGGGAATAAACTTGATCCAGAAGGCTTGTACAGATTTTATTACAGGAATCTTTGTTCAAGACTATAAGTGAGTGGTACTTTTAGGGAACACCTCAACTGGAGAGTTTTGTTTTATGGTCTATATCCGACTTTGCACAGAGCATGTCTGTTGACATGACATGGTCTCTGAGAATAACGAAATTATCGAATCTAGACTCCGAGTTATTTGAAGAAACCAGTGTGTGGAGGATGAATGGTCTATATGAGAGCCTTAGTTTAATAAGGTTTGGATTAATTTAACCCACATCATTTAACTTACAATGGCTCGAATGTGAATAACATAGATGGTTGAACTCTATATCCAGCTTCCCCAATTGCATTGTGCTACTCACTGAAATTTTTCCTTGAGGTTGGAAACAAGAAAAATATGTAGGGAGAATTGTCATTATTCATCGTTTTCGCCATTTTTACATAACCTCTCAATTTTTGGTCGCTTAGCTTAAAAAGTTGATTATTACATTCCCATTCATTGTTTCGTAAACTTTCGGGTCGTCATAAAGTGATCGGGGTAAATCAACGCCATGGATGACCAACCTACTGTTTTAAAGAGAGTAGCGTATAATATGGTTACCGCGGAAAATGGCACCGCAAAATGAGCACTGAACAAACATCAGCTGCCTACTATAAGGGTAGAGAAGCAAAGTCACGATGCCTATGTACAATATGTTGTTGCGCAAAGCTTTTTTTCGTAGGACAGGTGGTAGGAATTTGAAATCACATTAAAGTTGAGACTAACAGTTGAAAATGTAAGGACTTTAGAAGACAGACGATGAGATTAGTGTAATTCGCAACCTACACTTGAAGCATGGAAACATACTAGATTACGATGCGTTATTGGGCAATAATGAGAAACCTACCGACGCATATGTGGTTACAAACAGGCCAGAACGCGCTAGTCTAGATCTCTTTGATTGTAGGAAAAGATGGTTAGCAGATAAATAAATCATCTAACATCGATGGAACGGAGAAAAAATCCTGATTTTGAAGGGTTGTCTAGTCGTCAGAGTCCTGCGTTCAACTATTCGTAAACCAGTGTGGGTGGCATGGGAATATACTAACTGCAAGTGATTATATGCCATACGAATGTTCGTAGCCTACTGAGTAAAAATGGCAGAACTTGGAGATAAAGTTGATATTGAAAATCGTGAAGTCATTACAACTCCTAAAGCACGGGTGGCATAGGAAATACGTGGCGGTGAGATGCAAGAGATGGGCTTCTCACTCTTTAGAACTGTAAGGTTAGATCAGGGGGTTTAAGGCGTAGTTCACTTCCTGTGGAACACGTGTTGAGGTACTGACACACGACGTAGAGGCATGTGGATTAGTGAAGTGCCAGTCTGAATTCAGTGCCCAAGACAGATGTTGTGATCTCAATTATCACAACCCAGCGACTCTTTCTGCTTAGTAGTCTTGGATACTAATTCACTCTATAAGCCTCTGAAAATACCACAGGTATTGTAGTTTGACAACACTTTACCAGTAACACCTAGGATTGAACCGCGCCCACCCAGTAAAATCAAAAGTCAGAAGCGAGGAGGTTGTAGGATATATTCGATAGCTTATCAATATGTCGAGGAGTGACTGATCTAAACTGGCTAGTGATCGCAGGAGAAGTTGAACACGGCCTTCTCATTCATCATCTCGTGCGGATGCATGACTGAGCGCCTTCAGCTATGTAGTCCACTAAAACTAATATGGTCAGCAACAAATGTCGAGCACTTACAGAGCTATCGATTTTGGGGATTTTGTTTACCGCTACAGATCACTCCTCCTCTAGTGGGGTAGTGGTGACCCCAAGACATGGCCGGCCAGAAGTTTAAACCCAACGAGTTTGTCGTTGGTAAACATTCTTCTGATAGCTAGTTATTTTTAGCAACGTGTGGTCGTCTTTCCTACAATAAGAGACCATGAAATACAATATAGTAACAAGGAAACAAAGAACAATCAAAAATCCGGTTCCTCGTGAACTTCATCATTTTTTTAATCGTCTTTTCCAGCCATCCTGGAAAAGAAAAAAAGAATATGTAAGCGCATGTCGAAATACACTCGTGGGCGCGTAAAGATACAAAGCGTGCGGAAAAAGGTAAATAAACTAATACACTTGCTTTTAAAAAAATCAAATATACGCAATTAGTAAATAAGATTTGTTATTTTATTGGAATAAATATAAGCATATTAAGTTTTTTTAAAATATATAATACCAAGAAAGAGCGAGATAAGGTGAAATGTTAACCGGTGTCTTATGTGCAATAGTCGATTAAATGTTCTTCTTCCAGAATGCGTTGTTTTAGGTTTCTTTTCCGACGTTGACGAAGTATCAAGGTGTGTGTCGGCTGTCGTGTGGGGTACTACGAGTGTGGGAGCCTTGTCGTTCGAATGTACCGAAGGAAAATCGACGTAGCTAGGGTTTCCTTCTAAATACGCTGCTTTGAGGCAATCGATACTCATGCTATCGTCAGTACCGTTCTTATCGTATATATAGTACTTAGGTTCTCTCTGAAGAACCTTTACGGGTCTTTCGTATGCTGATTCGTGGGGTCGTCGATGTGAGTATCGACGAACGAAGACAATTGTACTATGTTGTAAGTCAGGTCGAACGATAACATCGGTTGATCGCGGTCGAGTGTGAGCAGGTTAACTGATCGCATTGCGTTTGTGAGCCTGCTCGTGTACGAGTTTAGATCGATGTTCATTGGAGAAGACGAAGGATCTACGAATTCTCTTGGAAGTCGGAGTGTTGTTCCATAAACGAGTTGAGATGTCGTGTATCCAATGTCAGCTCTCACTGCATTGCGGATACCTAGCAAGACGAGTGGAAGAGCACCTGTCCACTGTGAAACGTTTGTAGCTGATAATGAAGCTTTAAGTTGTCGATGTAAACGTTCTATCAGCCGGTTTGCTTGTGGGTGGTAGGCGGTCGTTCAGAAACGAGTGGTTCTCAATAGTGTGGTCAGACAACGGAAAAGTCCAGATTCGAACTGGCGTCCGCGGTGTGTAGTGATGGTTGAAGGACAGCCAAAATCTGCTACCCACCGTTCGACGAGGGCATGTATCTCTTTTTCACTGGTATTATCCTTGGTGAGCACTGCTTCTGGCTTCTACGTTTTTCAAGGTGGTCTAGCTGAAATCAAATTATGGATTCAACCATTAAATTACTGTAATCTTCACAAATCCTCATTCTGATAATAAAAAGATCAAAATGATTGATATTGATGTGCAAAGTTATAATTTTGAAGTATTTATGTCGTAGCAGATGCAGAAGTTCATCATTTTTAATATATATCATATATATGATTGATGAAAAATTCAATTATAGATAAGCAAAGATGGATAGTGGCTAGCAGTGGAATCCAGGACGCACTTTTCGTCCTATTTGGGACTCGTCAGCTGGATGTATATATATATATATATATATATATATGATTCGTGGTAAGGAATGTGTCGCGTAAGAATGATGTAAAGCAAATACCAACACGGTGTTCAATGACCTAAGCCTAAAAACTGGGATTAATAATCCTACCCACTAGATTAGCTACTTCCTCACATTTGTCTATATGTAAATAATGGTGTGAATTACCTTATCTAAGCATAATCCTTACGAATTTTTTAATGTTTAAATACTAATTATGTTTTTGATTTTATTCCCCTTTTATAAATAAGATAAATATCTTTTTATACATACCCCTGTTTCTCTACTATACACTTCGTTTATTCCTTCTTCACTATACTCTTCCTTTATCAAATCAGGCTGGATCACATTGGATTGATCCAGTCATGTATGTGTGTATACACATCCAATTGTAGTTCCCTAATCACACGATGTAAGAAACAAGACCAGTTCATAAACCGATTCAAGTTATACTATTATTCAAAACCTGGAAGCCTTGAAAAGGAGTTTCGTTCTAGTCTATGACTCCGCAGTGGTGCTCATCCACGACACCGAAGTTAGGAGTTGGATCCGACGTCTCTGACTTCGCTTAACTTCTAGATCATCTGATGGTGTTCAAGTCTAACTTTATTCAATTTAAGTTATTGTACGATCACCTTCCATTGTCTTTAGCGGATAACTACCACACTTCCAACACGGTTTAGCTCAACTAGTTATGGTTTCTTACTAAAACTCCAGACATTTCCTCTCAAAGCTAATCACTAGTGGACACATGATTGCCAGTATAGGATTGTGGAGATAGTAGGACCAAATGGCTGTCCAACGCTTCTAGGTTTTCAGTGGTAGTCTAATTTAGATCGATTCATGATTTCAATGAAATTTAACAATCTATACAACTCTTTACTGACAATCATTTGTCATTGGCTTTTTGGTTGGCTAACTTCTGTTTAAATTAAAGGAAACTATTGCCCTTTAATATTAAGGTGGATTAATTTTGTTTATTCACATGCAAATCCAATGCCTAAGATTAGTGTATCATGTCACCAAGGCTTTCTTACTATCATTAAGTAATAAATAATTCACGATTAGAAAATGTGACACCTGATTGGAAGATTATTCTCAGTTCAAAACATTACAGTATTTAAGGTCAACACGAAAAACGTGTTATAACTCTTGAACAAATAATTATAGTTTATTTCCCTATTTAATTAATGTTCATCGAGTGATACACTTATGGTTAATTGAAAACCATCTATGTTAACATATATATGTATGGTTGTTGCATAAATTGTAACTAATGAGAACCGAAAACAATGTTTAACCAATCTATTCTTGCCTTATTTGATCGATTATCTTAACATGTCGAAAATTCCCATTTTACTATTTAATTTATGATTAATTGTGTAATCCATCGTGACAAATAATTGAATTGCAAATCATTTTGATTGATTTCAGTTTAACATATATGTGTATCTATGTAACTGAATATTAGAGTAATGCATTATGCTGAACTAAATAACAACAATACCGTTCCTTACTTATGCCTGTTACCCCCAATGTAGCATAGGCCACCGACCAGCATTCTCCAACCCACTATGTCCTGGGCCTTTCTTTCTAGTTCTATCCAGTTGTTATTCATTCTTCTCATGTCTGTCTCTATTTTTCGCCGTAATGTTTTTTGGCTTTCCTATTTTCTTTTGACCTTCAGGATTCCATGTGAGGGCTTGCCTTGTGATGGGTGTTTTCCTCAATATGTGTCCTATCCACTTCCAGCGGTTCTTCCTGATTTCTTCCTCCGCTGAAATCTGGTTTGTTCTCTCTCACAGTACCTTGTTGCTGATAGTGTCTGCTCAACGGGTCCGAAGTATCTTGCGTAGACAACTGTCTCATTATATATATTGTCCTAATTATCTAACGGAAGAAAACTTCAAATGTACACATTATTAACTAGCAAACTATGGTCAGTGACTAGATTATAAGAAATTTTTTTTATCATAGTTTAGCTATTATCAACCCAGTGTATATGAATGAGATTTATAAAATTGTAGTATTTGTTATATAATGCATGTCATCATGTCCGGTAACTGTTTTCAGTTTGTTTTAATAGAAATAACAAAGTTAGACAATACAATCAAATATACTCAATTGGTAATTTCTTATTTATTATAAAGTTGGCAAATAATATTAATTTTTTAAATATTTATACAGAAGACAATATCTAATATGTATGTTAACATTGAAAGTTAGGCATTGGTAGATTTAATAGTTCTATTCTCATCTAAATTTTCAATATTACTAAGAAGTAAGCAATGGGACACATAGTATGTGAATAAGGAAAAAATAAGGATTGAACAAACTGATCGTATGATAAACATAAACACAAACTCACACAAATAAAATATCATGAATATATATATATATATATGTCATGTAAGTTTATTCAACATTATACAATATAAAACAATGTAGACATACAAAGAGCAAGCTGATAGTACTCATATACCTTCTAAATGTGTGTATATGTTGACTTTTAGATGATCATAGTCCTAGAGAAATCTAATGTAAACCTGTCAAAGTTATTCCATACTCCAACTGGCTAGCATAACTGATTTGAGTATAAACAACATTACACTGTTGCTCAACAAATATATATATATATATATATGTTGAGGAACGATGCATAAAGTTTATTGTACAGTTTTGATAATGGGAAAATTAATTCCCATATAGATTTTTGTAAATATTATTATTACTATTATTATTATTTCTGTAATACACTGATTACAAATTAAAAAGAAAACATTTATTGCCATTTGAAAAGAATGCCTATGCGTATACCACAACCAATACAGATTTGGTTTAATTCATTACATTATTATCGTAAAAAAATACAATCACATCACAATGATTCAACATTATTAATCGATAAATCGGATGAAAAATTTATTGATTATAATCCATTATTAATTGGTGGTATTGAAAATTTATTACTTGAAATGATACCAAAAAATTCTAAATCAATCATTAAAGATGGTGCTAATGAAGTTGCACAATGGATTTGTCAAAATTTAATATTATTATATGATATTAATATAAATGATGATTATAATAAATTAGATATAACTAATTCATCAAATGTATATAGAAATAATTTACTTAATGATATACAATTAATTACAATTGAATTATTGCCAACTATTATTTATGTATATTTTTGTTTATTTAGTAAGTTTGGAAAGATTCAATATTCAATATTATAAATATGATTATATACAGATTTATAATTATCATTATCAAAATAAATGTAAATATTATTAATTGATTATTAACAAACAATACTAAGTGAATTTAAACGTCACCCCATTGCACAAGCAAGGGGCTGTCAAGACTCAGAAGCTAAATGGATAGCTCGATGGCGTATGAAGCGGACGGTACTGGGTTCGAGTCCCAGAGTGAACATCTACTCTGAGGTGCAGGCATATCCAGCTGACGAGTCTCAAATAGGACGAATCGAGCGTCCTGAATTCCACTGTTAACCACTATTCATCTTTGCTTACAACGCTTGTGAATTAAGGCAATACGCATAGTATGCACATATGTCAATTAGAGACTGACCAGTTGCAGTCCTAACACATCGATGGGAAGATTCAAACAAACAATACTAAATGAATTTGATATTAATCATTGTTTAAATAATTTTGAATAAATTGAGCATTGAGTAGATTGTTATAAATAAATAATATGTCTGTAATATCACAATGAAGAGAAAAGTTAGATTTCCTGACGTTTCGTGACTCAGTGTAAGCTACTTCTTCGGAGTATAAAACTTCATTTTTTGAAGAAGTGGTTTATACTGAGTCACAAAACGTCAGAAAATCTAATTTTTCTACTCATTGGAATATTACAAGTTGTTTAGGTACTTTAAATTAAAAAGAAAAAAAAGAGAAGAGTATTCATTTATCAATGATAATTTTTTATCTAAGGGTTAGATAGACATCAATGAGGTTATTTTTTAAATTAAGCTAATCATGTTTAAAACATTTAAAGAATCTATTTTTCAACTATGTAAATATTTTAATAAAGTTTATTGTTTTAGATTTATTTTAATAAATTAATTATGTAAGTTAAATATTTGATGTATTTTAAAATTGGCGAGAAGTAGATTACTGTAAAATCAGGGTGCAACTACCAATGTTCTTGTATTGTTTTTCTACTTGTTTACATTTAAGTAAACAGAAAGGGGATTGTATTTAAAATTCATGTGTAGACTATATTATCACATGATCAATGGTGTTATCAGAATGAAAACTGATATAAAAAGAAAACGTTTGATACAGTTAATCACTTTTAGATGCAATTTTTAAATGAGTATAATTTGTGAATTCACAAATTACATGAACATAATACTGGAATTCGTTCTAATATCGTATATTATGTGATAATAATTAGTTGTTGTCATCAAATACATAGTTATTATAACAAATATAAAACTGTGAGAAAATGTGAAGTGGGATAATAAATTTTTTAGGTAATTGATTTATCTGTTGAACAGGTGAAATATTAAGCAGTTAAAAGACTTAAGAAAAAAGGTTTTTAGAATTTTAACATACATTTTCAGTAAATAACAAGGTAAACAGATTAATATTGAAAATGAAAATATATGTGTCACAAAATGAAAATCAGTGATAAACACTATGTGATAATATTTTAGGATTTTTATGAAGTAAGGAATACAAAGGACAGCTTGGAAGCAATTAGGAGATTTGGACTTCGAATATAACCTGGCTCTCCTGTACCATAAATGTGAACAAATAAAAGTCAGAACAACCAGTATAGCACAAGCCTCTACATCAGTGGGCTTCAGCATACACAAGGGAAAAACCGATCTTCTGAAATACAACAAGTAGACTACCAACCAAATCTCACTTAATGGAAAAGCTCTAAAAGAGGTGGAAAGTTTCACGTAGCTGATCAGCAGTATCATCGATGAACAAGGAGGATCTGATGGAGACATAAATGCGGGGATTGGCAAAAAAGGGTCACATTCCCACAATTGAAGAACATATGGAAATCAAAACAACTGTCAATCAACATCAAAGTCATAATCTTCAATACGAATGCCAACATGGTCCTACTGTATGGAGCTGAAACTTGCAGAACTACCACAACAATTTTCAAAATGTATAAGTATTTCTAAATATTTGTCTACGTAAGATACTCAATGTTTGTTGACCGGATTTCATCAGTAACAACCTACTATTGAAGAAAACAAACCAGTTCTCAGATGAAAATGAAATTAGGAAAATACACTGGAATTGCATAGGACATACATTAAAGAAATCATAAAACTACATCATGAAGCAAGCATTAACTTGGAACGTTGAAGAGAAACAGAAAGGAGGATGACTGAAGAACACATTGCACCGACAATAGGGAGCAGACATGAAAAGTATGAATATGAACTGGAAGCAGGTGGAAATGATTGTCCATGACAGATTTTGATGGAGAATGTTGGTTGGCGCCTATGCTCCTCCACCAGGGCTTACAGCCGTAGGTAAGTAAGTAAGTAAGATTCTTCAAGGTTTAAATCTACATTAAATATCATCTGATAAGTTGAAATCCATTGGTTCAGGTTCCAAAATTCATTAGTAGTGGATAATATTAATAATCCTAATGTAATTTAAATCCTAAATAAAGTGTAGATTTTTGACGAAAATGCTAGAAATGTCATCACAAAAATTATAGAGGTAATGTTGTCAGTGTAAAGTTGTGAGGGCAATTAGTAGTATGCAGTTCGTTTATAATTTCAAATCCGTCAACAGTAAGTGCATTGGATCTTGAAAGTATTGGTTGAGACTCACGTCAAATGTGTCACCCCAGATACGTTGCTAATGAGCTATTTAGGCAATGAGAGAGACTTTAAATAGATAAAACTTTTACACTAATTAGTCACTGAAAGATAACCAGTATCATTTCTACTAATACTGTTCTAATTACATTAAAGTGGTAAAGCGTTGCAAAGAAAAACATGTTATATTATCATGAACAATATATTTTTTAGTGAAATAATCATACTGTTTGCTGTCAGTGACTAGTCTCTTCCTTATTTTTGTGTTGTACCATACAATCGATTAATTATGTGAACCACACTGATCATTTTATCATGATACTTTCTTAAGAAAACTTTTTCGAGCCATATAAGAGATAAAAAATTGCTTTGATAGACTCATTTTAGTCCTAAAATGTTATTCAAATTTGTTTTTTTTTAAAACTTAATAAATGGACCAAAATTTGGACAAGCTCATTTTATAACATTTAGGAAAAGCTTAGTAACATACGAGTTATCCTTAGTTAATCAAACTTTTTAAAAAAAATAAAAGCTATCATACTAAAAAAGGAAATGATTTTATTAATCGATCAAAAATCAATATTAATCAATGTTGTTTTGAAGAGAGAGAGAGAGTATCAAAAGAGGAACATGATTTTTAATTAAATTGAATTTTTGTAGTAAAACAATAAATTTTTTATAATCACAATTGAACTATTAAACATTATAATCAAATTAATTTTTATTTTTTATTTGATTCCCATCAAAATTATTTCCAGTTATAAATAACCAAATTAATTTGGTTATTTATTCTCTGAAGAAGTGGCTTACACTGAGTCACGAAACGTCAGAAAATCTAATTCTTCTACTCATTGGGATATTACAAATTATATTTATTTATTTATAACAATCTACCCCATGTTCAATTTATTCAAAATTATCAAATCAAAACTTGGTAATGATACCTGTAAATAAAAACTATTTTAAATGTGAAACATTTCATGAGTTTGTCGTTTTGTTTTATTGTTGTTTTGTCTTTTAGAATCAAATATCTTTTCAGTTAAACTAAGTATATGTTTTCGAAGATAAAATTGACTTTGACTTAATTGGACAATAACAATTGCAATAAGTTGAAATTTAAAACGATTTATTTTTCTGATCTTTTAAGTTACCCAGATTATGTTAAGTTAATTGTAAATGATATATATGACAGTGTTATCCCAATGTTTTCAAAAACTTGAAAAAAAGCAGTCGTATATTAGGGATTCTTGTGTAAGTGTTCAAAAATTTAAATTAGATTGTCAGTGATCATGAAGAACTAGAAAACAAATATTAGCCAGTAGAAAAATTCAATATAAAATCCATATGCTATTTTATGATACTATTTAATATTGCTTCACAAACGTAACATTTTACCGAATAAATATGGATTTAGCTTTAAAAAATTGTGACAATCAATATTTTAGTAAGTTAATTAAGAAACCAAAATGACTTTAGTATTTCATAATTCACAGGTTAATAATATGTACGAACATTCTTCCTTGAATGATGTCAGCGAAATGTTATTTCAGTAAAAATCACATACGAATGTACATGAAGATTCGTTTTATCCAAATTAACCATTAGAGTAGTGCATTTCAAACAATCTCCTTTTACCAAACGTATCTCAATACTTGTTTTTATAAACAGCTGAGAATCTCTCGACAAACTATACTTTACAAATAAACAATATATTTGTAATATTTCACTTCTTCTCTGAAGAAGTGGCTTACACTGAGTCACGAAACGTCAGAAAATCTAATTCTTCTACTCATTGGGATATTACAAATTATATTTATTTATTTATAACAATCTACCCAATGCTCAATTTATTCAAAATTATCAAATCAAAACTTGGTAATGATACCTGGATTACGCAATTATTTTTAACAATATTAAATAGAAAACTTTATTAATGTTTTATGTTTTCATTAAAAAGAAAGTATATTTAGAATACAATTTATTGTGTAAAGCTTATGTATTTCGATGAAAAAAAACTATTTCAACTAAGTACTTCACATTTAATTATATATAACTATGGTAGGAAGGATTTAAATGATTTTAGATATTATACAAATCTACCAAATGTGGAAAATGTTTTATTTATTTATTTATACTTCTCATCAACTTTCTTTTCTATAAGAAAGTAATTATATTATTTGATGTATTCTTTTGTAAAATAAAAAGGATTGGTACAGTGAAAAGTTATCTTTTTGGTGAATTCATTATCAAAATTGTACAATCACAAACATATAATTAAATTCACTTAGTACTGTTTGTTTGAATCTTCCCATTGTTATTTAGGACTGCTATTGATCAGTCCTGGATTTCACTACTATCTACTATCCATCTTTGCTTACAATGGTTGTGAATTAAGGTTATATCGAGGCAACGAGCACAGTACGCACATATGCCAATTAGAGACTGACTAGTTGTAGTCCTAAACATCAATGGGAAGATTCAAACAAACAATACCAAGTGAATTTAAACTTCACCCCATTACACAAGCAAGTGGCTATCAGGACTCAGTAGCTGAGTGGATAACGCGATGGCGTTTGAAACGAAGGGTACTGGGTTCCAGTCTCAAAGTAAACATCAACTCTGAGATGTAGGTACATCCAGCTGACGAGTCCCAAATAGGAAAAAACGTGCGACCTGGATTCCACTGCTAGCCACTATCCATCTTTGCTTACAAACATATAATAAGTTCATAAAATGATAATAATCACAATCATAATGATATTATAAATATATATATACCATATATAAATATATGGTAAAAGTGAGACATAATAAACAAAGGCATTAAAACATTATATTTATCAAAGAAATTAATAATAATTTCATTGTATAGAGCTTGAATATTCATCCTGACGATAGTTAGGGAAATTATAATTTGGAAGAGAAGGTTCAGTGTGATAAGATGAAATGTAGTAAATGAGATGAACTGTAATCAGGAGGATCATAAAGACAGAAGCAAATCAGTTGGGGGTAAAAGGCATGTGAAGAAGCAGATGGTTGTGAAGCGAGAAAGTATGATGAAGAAAGGAAATTATTAGGCATTAAAACCATGGTAAAAGAAGAGGTTGCATAAGTTTTATTTTGGGGTACATGTATATCAAAGGTAATGCCCAAAATTGGATTCTTCTAAGAAATTCCTAACGTTTGAAAGTTGGTCTTAGTTTTATTGTTTATCAAAATTGTGTTACACAAAATATCATTTTTGATTATTTTCAATTCTAAAGAAAGGCTTATGTATAAACGGTAGGAAAATTAATGAAACTGTCAACATGTACAACTCCCTGAATGAACAGAGTTAGCTTTAAAAACGGTTTGAAAAAAACAGTTTTAAAATGTGATTTTCAAATAAGTAATTTCTGGACAGTTTTCATTCACAAAAATATTTTAGAATTGTAATCAATCTATATTGATTTTTCGAGTGAAAAACGTGGGGTTTATTCCCAACCAACTTTTCACATTTGCATTTAGGCCAAAAAAGATTAAACTTCAAGTAGATAATACGTATTATAGGACATTAAATAGGAATAATATATATTTTCATAGTTGAAAGCGTGAGTGAACTATGAAAATACTAAATCTCCACAAAAAACCCCTTCTGATAATAATATTATTTGTAAAAACTCAGCGAATGAATTTGAAGTAAATTCAACATTTCCCCTGGCAATCTGGTCCAAGCTTTTTTCATTTATTACAGATTATTTTATAATTATCATTACTAAATTTGTATTAATTGTATTACTTTTTTCTATCCATTTTAATTCACCATATAAATATTGTCTTAGTATGCATAACAGACCAAAATGCATCAAGATATTTTGTTTTGTCACTTGAGTTAAAAGTGGCTGTTAAAACTGTTCGTTCAAGTTTATTAACAGAATTAGTTGTATGTTTTTACAAATTGCAAAAAATCTAGATCAATGAATCAAAACTAAATAGGAACAGGGAAAAAACATGATCTAAGTGTAACAATTTCTTTGATAGGAATTCTCTATAATGAAGCATACTTTCTTAGCTCAAATTATTTCAAGTTAAACAATCATGAAAATTTAGGTAGACATTTCAATTCCACATTGATAGTTGTTAGCTAGAAAAAAAGAGAATACAAACGCTAATCGAACTTAAATAGATCTTACACAGAAGATCATTTACTAAATGAGTGCACACTATAATTGAAAGTTGATGAAAATGAACTAGTTTTACGTTCATTGATTAGCCATTACTTTCATTCTGTCTACATCTTCAGTTAATCATTATGAATGAGAATCTATCAAATTTCTATCAAGTTTATCATTATTTTTATTTGTTTTTTTCTGTAATAATTATATTTTTGTAATAAATTTATTACTATAAAATTGTTTTGCTACTCAGCCTTATATCTAAGTGATGAAATTGATTTAATAAATTTTTAACCATAGTCACAAGCTTTATAAGTAAAGATGGATGGTGGCTACGTATGGAATTCAGGACGCATTGGTGAGTCCCAAATATGACGAAATGCGCGTCCTGGATACCATTGATAGCTACTATCCATCTTTGCTTATAAAGCCTGTGACTTCAGACAATATCGAGGCAGTCTGCACAGGATGCATATATGCCAACAAGAGATTGATCAATTGCAGTGCCAAATAACAATAGGATGATACAAGTAAACAATAACAAGTGAATATTACCCATAGTGTTCACAAAGCAATATTGTTCATTAATTAATTAAGTTATTCATAAGATGATATATTTTCATACCTTCTGTGCTTTTATTATCTTGTTTATTTAATACAAATATAGAATCTTTTAAAACAGTGACCAGTGGAGTTCAACCAGGTCTGCTGTGAGATAGTAAGTCACTGAAGACATTGGTGGATGTATCACTCAATTTCGTGGATCAGTTGAAGTTAGACATTAACACCGTTGGAAGCCGGTTCAGTGGTCTAGAGGTTAAGTGCTCGAGCGTGAAAACTGATAGGCCCTGTGTTCGACTCTCGCGAGGCGGGATCCTGGACGCGCACTGCTAAGGAGTTCCATAATTGGGACGAAACGGCCGTCCAGTGCTTTCAGGTTTTCCATGGTGGTCTAGCTTCAATTGATTCACCATCTCAACTATCAAAAATAGTTTATTTTCCAAAAAACATCCCTACCTTTAAATTCACTTAGTATTGTTTGTTTGAATCTTCCAATGGATGTTTAGGACTGCAAAATTGATCAGTCTCTGATTGGCATATGTGCATTCTGTGCATCTTGTCTTGATATTGCCCTAATTCACAAGCATTGTAAGCAATGATAGATGGTGGCTAGCAGTGGAATCCAGGACGCACATTTCGTCCTATTCGGGACTCGTCAGCTGGATGTACCTGTATTTCAGAGTTGATGTTCACCCCACTACTCGAATCCAGTACATTTCGCTTCAAACTCCATTGCGTTATTCACTCAACTATTGAGTCCTGATAGCCACTTGCTTGTGCAATATGACGAAACGTGCGTCCAGGATTCCACTGCTAACCACTATCCATCTTTATTTATAATCCCTACATTTATTTAGAAAAACAAAATACTGATCTCCAATTAATGAATTCTTAAAATTAAAATTTCTTATTCAAATTTTCTCTTTTTTTCTTTTTTAAAAGTTTTTTTTGAATCAACAAAATCTTATCAAACCAAATCCCCAATATCTAATAAATCTGATATAAAATTAAATAAATTATTTAATTTTGATAAATTTCATTCATTATTAAAACAAAATGAAGATATTACTCAAATGTTAAATTATCAATCAAATAATTTATTAAATATAAATAAACAATTAAGTATAACAAAATCACAAATAATCAATCAATCAATCAATGAATTATCCCCATCATCATCATCATTCAAATTAGAAAATAACAAAAAATATTCTACTAATATACATAAATTAATAAAACAACAAACAAAATTGAATAATGAACAACAACAAAAAAATAAAAAAAAACAAATCAATGAATTATTGATTAATGAACAAATAAATTTAATCAATATTTTTGAAGTATTTTTATTTACTATTTATCAAATTTATCAAAGAAAAAATTTATTAAAATTATCATTAAATGAAGAAAATATAGAAATTCATTTTGAACCAATTAGTTTATGTAAACCAAGTATATATTGTGATGAATTATTCAATAAAAATGAAATCAATAAAATGGATTATTTAACAAAATTATATGATCAATTGGTTGTATTAAAACAATCAGATAAGTTGAATAATGAACAAGATTCAAATAGAAAATTGAATGTAAGTTATAGAAAGAATATACATTTTATTGGGCCTTTCTAAGTTGTATTCTATGTTTCCGCGTTTATATTCTATTATAAAGTAAGATTTGAAGAGTGTTTGCAAAAAAATCAGTCACTGAGTTTATTTAGATGTCTGGTAAATTTAAAATCAATCGACAAATCTGAGACAAATATATTATTTTGTTTGAGATCATGAATCGATTGATGTAATATCACTATCGGGACCTTGAAAGCACTGGATGGCCGTTTCGTCTTGTTATGGGACTTTTCAGTGATGCGCCCCTAGACGCGAACCCAGGACCTTCGGTCTCGCAAACAAACACTTAACTTGTAGACCATTGAGCTGGCGTCCGACTGTGTTAATGCCTAACCTCAACCAATCCACGAAATTGTGCTGCCATTTTTCATTGTACTGACGTAGATACCTGTCTCTATCTGATATTGATTAGCTTCACTGGTCACGGCTTCGCACTTGAACTCCGAGAATTCCCTCAAGAAGCTACTTACTAGTGAGCATATGGGAATTACCAGTATGAAGTTGTGGATATTATTAAGTTCCCATAAAAAGACGAAATGGCCTTCCAGTGATTCCAGGGTTTCGATATGTCTAACATCAATCGATTCATCATCTCAATCAAAAACTAATAATCTCCAGAATCCCATACTGAAAAAAATATTCATAGGAAAAAGAGAAATATAGGTATGGTTTGATTAAGTTACAGTATTATGAACATACACTAATTGCTATTAACTAGTAATTATCTATCGATATCTTGATTACAATGATCAGTAAAGAGATTGGTGGATACTTTGTAACAAAGATAAAACTTTCATAATCATATATTAACTAACACGAAAATTAGACATTTCCTCAGGATTTTATTTTAAGTACACACCCATATCTGGACAAATTTGGTTTATAATACTGAAAATTAACGATTTTATCTATTCTATTTTGTATGAGAATTTAGAACTATTAACAACAAAATATTACCGAATCTCATATAGTTAATTGTGTATCTCATGATGTATTTAATTTACTTAATCATCGGAAAAGGGTATGTCATTGAATTGATATTCAGTGACTGTATCATAACAAGTTCCAACATCTTTTTAACTAGTAACTACGATCATAGCATGAAATGGTATTTGATATTTTGCAGAGATGAAAAAGAATTTGTTGACAAAATATTGAGTAAAACGGATGAATGACTATGAGCAATATTTATACAAATTCTATCTCACCCCTTTGGGAACTCTATGAAGAAACACTTATTTTATGGTTGATTTATCAGTAGACATGACGGCGTTTATCTTCTATTAGAATAAATTAACCCTTTTAAATAAATGTTTAAGAAAATATATAATACTTCCAGTCAACTTTTATGCTTTCCTGATCCTTTCAGTCTAAAATATAGACAATAGAAGTAAAATCCTAGCAAAGATGTATATTAATGTGAATGTGTACGTAGAACACTTTCAAACATACATTTGGATGTGATTTATCATGCATGAAAATATTGAAGATGGATAGATAATGAGGAAGATGTATATAGCTGTATGTAATATAAAACGAAAAAAAACTAAAACTGTTTAAACTACTGAATTGATTCACATTTTTCTTCAGTATATTATATATTTTACACTTTAAACTGAAATTTTACTGCATTTAATCAAACATTGGACAATGTTTATTAACCTTATTTGAATGAAATAAAATAGATCTTACCCATGTTAGTAGCTGACACTATAATGAATTTGAAACAAAGCATAATGTAACTAGGAAGTATCATTGCTAAGCTTGGACTTGATAGTTTCAAATAAATTGAGCATTGGGTAAAGAATTAATCATAAATATATGTTTTGGTTATATCCCAATAAGTAAAAAAATTGTATTTCTAATGTTCTGTGACCTAATGTAAGCCACTTCTTTAGAGTAAAGAAATAAACGAGTTAAATAGTACCAGGGTACCATTGTTATCTATTTACTCTAAAGAAGTGGCTTACGTTAATTTGCAAAACGTCAGAAACTTGATTTTTTTACTTATTGGGATATGGAAAAAGTATACTTATTATAATGTAACTCATTGAAAGAATGTAACAATCTTTATGTTTATTCAATTTGAAACTACATTTTAAGATTTAATTAAATTTTAAACGTGGGAATATATAATTTAATGTGGATTGTTGATCAAAATACGGCTAACTTGGAAAAAATCCAAAACCGACCAATTGAAAATGTTATAATAGTTTATGAAGCTCTTTCCTACCACTCTGGATTACGTTTATAGATATAGACTTCTCAGGTAAAATAGGTTAATTGATTTTAATCCTTAAATTCACTTGGTATTGTTCACTTGAATATTCCGATTGCTGTTCATTACTGCAATTCATCAGTCTCTTATTCGCATATGTAAATATTGTGCGGATTGCCTCGATATTGCCTTAAGTCACAAGCATTATAAGCAAAGATGGATAGTGGCTGGCACTTCGCACAAGATGTACATATGCCAATAAGAGACTTATCAGTTCCAGTCCTAAACATCAATGGGAAGATTTAAGTAAACAATATCAAGTGAATTTGAACTTCACTCCATCGCACGAGCAAGTGGTTGTCAAGAATCAGTAGATGTGTAGATAACGTGACGGTGTGTGAGGCGGATGTTACTGGGTTCGAGTAGTGGAGTGAACCTCAACTCTGAGATGCAGGAACATCTAACTGATGAGTCATAAAAAAGATGAGATGCACGTTTTGGATTTCACTGCTAGCCACTATCAATCTTTGCTTATAGTTGTAATCCTGGTTTACATGAATTTCATAATAATTGAAAGTTATTCACATTGTATGTATCAGTATTCCTTATTAATTCTCTTCTTCTACGTCAACAGATTAGTGTCAATAGGTATTTTATTCTTTCAAGTATGTTAGTTGCTTTCAATTATATTTCTTGTTCTTACCTTCCCGCTAATAAAGAGTGCAAATTATGTTTACACCGCCTGACATCACGTTGATTTTCTGTCACTCTATTCAAGTCTGGTATGAATTTGAAATTCATACATATTTTTATCATAACGTATATTCAGAAGGGGTTTTGTGGAGATTTAGTATTTTCATAGTTGAAATCATGAGTCAATTGAAGCTAGACCACCAAGAAAAACTTGGAAGCACTGGATGGCCGTTTCGTCCTATTGTACGACTCCCACGATAGGGCGAAACGGCCGTCCAGTGCTTCCAAGTTTTCCTTGGTGGTCTAGCTTCAATTAACTCATGCGTTCAACGATAACGTATATTGTTTATGATTGACGTATAAATAAAGCATGATATAAAATTCACCATAACCTATGAAAAGGTAAGTAGTTTATATAAAAATTTTAATTTATTATGAATTATGTTCACTGAATAAAATAATTTACTGAAAACAACAATTAGTTTTTTGTTAGAGTCTGTTTGACTCACGTGACATTGATGCAAGACCTCACAAAATCTATGAAAGTTAATATTTTACATTTAGCCAGGTTGTTTCACAGGAAGTATGAACTTGTTACCTAGGTGATTCCTACGTTTTATTGACTATAAAACATTTCTATTCTGAATATAATTGGAATTAGTTGGTAGATTTGATGTAAAGTAATTATAAAATGTTTTTGAACATACTCTGCTTTAAATATACGTTTGGCAGATTGACTTCATTAATGTATCACAAGTGATGCAGTCAATCATTTTAGAAAATTCCATCATTACTAATCAAATCAGTATCAAATTTAATGACATTAAATGCTTTTGTTTACTTTATTTTCACCTACTAAAACTTTCATATATTGATTGAAACCGCTTGCTTAATTTGCCAATAAATCCGAGGTGAGAAGTTTTGAAAGGAGTAACTATACAGCCAACTTATGAATTCCCAATTTTTATCTTTTTTAACACAATGAGTACCGCTAAGATTAACTTCGTAATTATATGTGGGTTTCAGAGTGTAATAAAGGTTGTTCTTACATCGGTTGAAAACTTTCCCAACTTTAGTCGTTCACTTAAATTTCATTTTATTGATACATATCACTTAAGATACTGGCTTCGTTAAACTAAATGTTGCTTATCTGTTCTACATACATATTCAAAATGATAGATTTGAAATATAAACGACCTTTGGGACACATATATTCTGATAGAATCACCTCACAAAGGATTGTATTTAAGAAAATAAGTAGAAAAACTATTATATTTTAATTTATCGATATCAGTTATTGATTTGAAAGAGTTAAGTTCAGATTACCATTCCAGTTTTTATGTGATGTTATCCACCAGTAGGTTAAATCATATTAACTAATAAGAAATCGAAAACAATAAAGTAAAATTCTCATTTGACTTCAAATTGTCCTGAGCGGACAGCTGACGCTAATAATCTTTCTCCCATAACCTCACTTACACGATGTTACTTTTGGATCAGACCGATTTCTTGCCTATAAAATTTGGGTAGTGGACAGGTACATATCAAATTAGGTTATTTGAGGGGAAGTATGGACACAATGGAATCAATCAAAAGATTTGAGCTTCACAGATGACCTGGCTCTTCTACCCCACAGACATCAACAAATGCAGATGAAGACAACCAGTGTCGCAGCGGTCTCTGAATTAGCAGGTCTCAACAAAAACAAATGAAAAAGCAAGATCCTCAAATGCAACACACAGAACACCAATGCAATCACTCTCGATGGAGAAGCTCAGGAAAAGGTGGTGACCGTCCCTTATCCGGAAGCATCATCCATGAACAAGGAAGATCTGATGCAGACATAGATGCGAGGATTGGCAAAAAAGGGTCACATTCCCACAATTGAAGAACATATGGAAATCAAAACAACTGCCAATCAACATCAAAGTCACAATCTTTAATACGAATACCAACACAGTTCTACTGTATGGAGCTGAAACTCGCAGAACTACCACAACAATTTTCAAAACGTATAAGTATTTCTAAACATTTGTCTGCGTAAGATACTCAATGTTTGTTGACCGGATTTCATCAGTAACAACCTACTATCGAAGAAAACAAACCAGTTCTCAGATGAAAACGAAATTGAGAAAAGACACTGGAATTGGATAGGATACACGTTAAGGAATTCATTAAACTACATCACGAAGCAAGTACTAACTTGGAATGCTGAAGGGAAACAGAAAGGAGGATGACCGAAGAACACATTGCACCGACAATTGGGAGCAGTCATGAAAAGTTTGAATATGAACTGGAAGCAGGTGGAAATGATTGTCCATGACAGATTTTGATGGAGAATGTTGGTTGGCGGTCTATGCTCCTCCACGAGACGTAACAGGAGTAAGTTAGTTAGTTAGTATATTTCCGCAATAATACAGTCCGAGTCATTTTTGTGATTCATTACATTCATTCACTCCAGAAATCGACCATTGAGTCGATTTACCGTCAAGTTATATCAATGAAATTTGTTTAAGATTTTAGTGATGGTTGTTAATGAAATCCTTGAAGTTGTAAAGGATGAATTTGTCGAAGTGATATCATGCAATACAACATACCAAATTGTGATTAGAATAGTAACTGTTCACAAAGCCATTCATAGAAAATCTTTTTATAGAACATGATGTAATAATGAATAACTTGACATAATTATCTGAATAATTCCCTCCAAAATTTGTGTATAAATCTTTGATTGTTAATAATGTATCCGATATGACAGGATAAAAAGGCCAAATTACATTCTTTTACTCATTGTGACTTTTTTTCATCAATACTTCCGTTTTAATTCAGTTTGATAATTACTCTGTATAGTGTTTGTTTTGTTTCCCTGTATGATATTTTATTCTGTATAACAAACGACATTCTTGTATTAAACAAATATGAACTATGCTCAGCAGGACATGTAGATTGTGATTTGTTATAACTCAGTGATTTTATCCTAATTATTAATGAAAACGGGTGTACGATCAATACTTAATTAGTGTATTCTTGATTAGGGTCATCGTTGTGTTTTGGGTTCAATAAGTCTTCACTTGTACCTGTCTTGGGGTTTTAACTTCGTATCGTGGGAACTACAGTGATTCCTTGTTCTTTCAAGTATAACAATAAACGATGCAGATATAACTGTATCATATTCCAATAGAAAATGACAACGATTAGGTTAGTAAGAAGTTGTTTTATCTTACTTTTATCTAGGTGTATAAATCACAGTTAAGATATTAAAAAGGCACATTGGGTTGATTCATTTTCTTTAACATTGTTTTTTTTTCAGGAGTATACATTTAATTCACGCAATCGTATGCACATATTGACTGCACTGATGAAAGAATACAGCGCATACTCTCCATCATGTGTCTCTAAACAATCAAGAATATCATTATGCAAATTAGCTTGTTTGTTTAATCCTTTCAGCAACCAATATTCAGAGAATATGCCCTTACAATTTGAAGAATCTGATTTAGTGGATAACGATGGGCATACTTGTGATACGAATTCCATGAAACTAGAAAATGTAGGTTTTACATTGTTATTATCATAGCTGTTTTATATCTTTCACATAATATAGTCTGAATATCAGCTACTCAAACCTTCCAGATTGTAATTTCTCAAAAGTCGTAAGCGAATCCGTAATATACATTATCTGAAATGAAGGCAAACGTTTGTTAACTACCACACAAAAGAAACTCACTCATTTAAATGTTTTACTCATAAATAAAGTTGGATTTGTTAATAATATAAATTCAGTGTTTTATCTATCATTTCATTCGTTTATTTCTTGATATAATAGAATTTGGAATATTTATTGACACGTAAATTGTTTTTTAGAGCGAAATAAATTTCCTCCTTGATATGACTTACCATTCTACATATATATAAGGTTATTCAAGATAATCTTCTAATTAATTGACCAAGGGATTGTGCATTGTAGGTCAGTGTTCATTAAATCATGAGCCAGTTACATTAGTTCATTTGCTTAAATCCTATGGTAGGAGGACTGACTATGAACTACGTAAGTTTTAAACAGTGAATAATTTCAAAATGAAACATAGTATGAATAGTAGTTATCATAATATTATGTTCATAATAGACCTGTTTTGAGATTTTAGAACTCCAGAAAGACATCTGCTTTTATGATCCACTGTGTAAACGCCTCAATAACAAATGAAAGTTACCCAGTTCTGACTATTTATCTTTATATAAAATGTGAAATCATTGCTTTATCGTGATAGGTACATGTAACTTCCTAACTAATTCATTTCCTGAACGAATATGTAAGCTTTTTCCTGAAGTATACGGCCATAAACAAACCATTTATCTCAGGTGAAAGTGAGCAGAAAACTACGTTGATTAAAGTTAAGTACTTCTCATCTTCATACAGAGGTCTGTACCACTTTGCGTGACTAACATTTTGGTCCCAGCGTTTTGTATATAATCACTTTAAAAGCCTTAAAATTATGAACTGAATATTTCTTAGCTTTTTGCCTCTATAAGACTGTATAAGACAGCGGTCTGGGTTTCCTTATTTTTATTATATTTATTTTAAACTGAACATTTAGTCCCTCAACCTATAGATATCAATACTATTTTATAGTTTTTGAAAATTCTCATCTTAGATAAGCGGAAACGAAAAAGAAGACAATTCAGTTCATGAGGGAGCCACATCACAGCCTACTTCACCAAAAACACTTGGTAAACTGGAAGAGCATACCTCCAAAGGAATGCGAAATTCTTATACAAATTTGGAGACAAATAAACAACTGAAATTCAGTAGAGTAACAGGATTGAGTTCGAATTTTGTAATAGAAATTCTGTTCTCTCTCTATCCAGTTCTTTTTACTGAACATTCAGATTTGGCTTGTGAAGGAGTCAAGTCTCTGAAAGCTAGAGCGACTTATGAAATATGGTCAAATGTATGTAGTTATATCACCATTCATTTGTTTTTCATTCTAAAATGTTTTTTTTTATCTACATATAATTTCGGTTACTACTCCTGTCCAAGTTTATTCGATAGAAAAATAATGCATTTGGAATCTTTTAGTTTTGAGATGGTAGAGAAGATTTGTAGCTCAGGTGGGTGATTTTGATGTTGGTTTGTTCTCTGAGCTAAATGGTTTGGTCGCACGATCCCGCCCCGCGAGATTCGAACTCAGGACCTCTAGGCCACTGAGCTGGCCTGCATCCAATGGTGTTAATGTCTAACTTCAACTCATCCATGGAATCGAGCGACACATCCACCAATGTCTTTAGTGAGTTACTATCTCACAACAGACCCGGTTAAACTCCACTGGTCACTGCTTCTCACTAGAACTTTGGGAAATACCTCTTGAAGACAGTCACTAGTGAGCATATGTTGATTAATATCAGAAAAGGGTTTTGTGGATATTGTAGTAATTTTAGGACGAAACGGCCGTCCAGTGCTTCCAGGTTTTCCATGGTGGTCTAGCTTCAATCGATTTATGATCTCAACTGTTAAAATCTTTTATAAAGCAAGAATAAATAACATTATATCGTCAAGTGGACTAATTATTTTCAATTAACCCTTTCAAATACAGAAAGAATATTTTCAATTAAGCATTTTGCAAATATATTGTAAAGTTACTTAATCGACTGGTAAGAGATAGCTAAAATCAATTTACATAATTAAACATATTCAATTTATATAGAAACAATGTAAGTGAATGAGATCATAATGATGTCAAGCCAGTGAGAATATATATATATATTAATAGGGTAGACAAAATGATAAACTTGGTAGTAATTACAAAACCCAATAGTTAATTGATTATAATAATGGTGATAGTGAAAAAAATAATTGTAAAACAAGATGTTCTGAAAATTTAAATTAGGAACAATCATTTGAACGGAAGAACCGATAGATTTGGGGGAAGGGAGTTAGAGGACAATAATAATCTTAATAATTGGAAAAATAACAAAATATAGATGTTCATTAAAGTAAATGATAACGTATTGTTGTAGTTAAGTGAAAAAATAGTGGAGAAAATGAGAAATATTTGTGAAGCTTACAGATTAATTAGAAAAAACTGATAGAAGAAATGTAGAAGTAACAGCAAATTAATCATCAAAAAATATCCGTTGAACTTAAAATACGAAATATTTTTTTCAGAAGGGGTTTTGTGGATTCGAATCTTGCGAGTGCGGGATCGTGGATGTGCATTGCTGAGGAGTCCAATAATAGGATGAAACGGCTGTCCAATGCTTCCAGGTTTTCCATTGTGGTCTAGCTTCAATTGACTCATGATTTCAACTATGAAAAATACCGAAATATTTTAGTTAAAGAATTAGTGAATATTTGGAAGACAGAGTAGATGAAAAGAAATAAAGTTTCATTATTCTACAACGTTAGCTGTTTTCACATTGTAAGATAGAGTCCATTAACCTGTGTTTCGTGGCAAATTCTAGCTTTTAATAATAGACACGTATTCAAATATATAAGTAATAATATATGAAGTTTAATTATAGTAATTAAATGAGTCTAATGTGGTTTAATCGGGAAAAGATAATCGCAAATGTCTTAAAAGACATGTACAAAACAGAAGTTAATGATTAATTTTTACTTTGATTTCAGGTCTTGTTACTGATTAATTCAATAGAAAAGGATTATACTCGATCAAAGTCACCTGATTTAAAGTTGCTTAAATTTGATAACCGAATGATCGGCCAAGAAGTGTTAAATAACGACAATTTCAATGAATGTTCAGTTGAAGAACATAAATTGGACTCTGAACAGTTAAGTTTAGCTAGTGCTTATTGTGGTCTATGGTCTGGACTGTTGGGGAAACGATCCGATATACAACAAAATGAAGTAGTACCAGAACTCTGTGATATTCAAGATTTATCGGGCAAGCGTTTACATTATGTTCGACTAGCACAAGCCAAATTTAAAAGACCTGTTGTTACAAATTCAGATTTTAAAACTGTAAAACTTCCAGATGATATAACACCTTTATCACCAATTGATAAAACTACTTCAAAACAAAATGAAAACAAGAATTACCTTTCAACACATGATAATGTATATTTAAAAAATAATTGGAAAAGTTCTTTAGATGATTTATCAAGAATTGAAGAACCAATTGCAGCATCAAATTCTTTTACTCGTGAATGGTTTAAAAAGACTCTTTGGAAAGATAGACAATCTGAGAAATTTTAGGTTCTGTTCTTTCATTGTTTTCAATTACTTTCTTAGATTTGAAAAGTTTTATTTGAGCATTATGTATAGTAAATACTTATCTAATTTTGAATACGGCATTTATTCTTTGCATTTATCATTCCAAAATTCTTGTTTTAAGTAAAACAATCCTAATGTAGGCTTTGTATAATCTTTTAAATACGAGCTAAAACCTTTGCTTTTAAATTTATATTAACTTTATTATAACTCAATTAAAGGTGAATGCGTTTTCAAAGTTATCTGAAAGCAATTATGTTCAAGGTAAAATGGATGTTGATTCATTTTTCATTGGATTTTGAAAATAATATGAATTTACTTTACTGCTTTTTTCATAATTTGAAATAAACACAAGATGGAGGAAATTGTTCTTACTTGTATATTCGGAATCGACTGTAATGTGATTTGTAAAACTTTTTATGAAGGTTGTAGCTAGAAAATTTAGTCTTAATTGAATGTTACATGGTACTAGGTTTGTCTTAATACTACACTAATACCGAATTTCTGTGTTGAATAAATCAAATGTGAGTAGTAAGTTAGAGAAAACACTGATAATACAAATGGTTTAATCAATAGTTTCCAACTTAAGGTTTGAGAAATGATTGGTGTATATCATTTAATAAATCCTTGTTTATGTTGGAAGCTGGTACTAATTAGGACGCTGTTTCAATTTCTTCCTTAACATCCCGTCCCGAAAGGCCAGTGAGTAGAGAAAATGTTTATTGTTATTGATTATTTTTATAAATAATAATAAATAACTACTAGTGTAACTTTGATAATTTAATTCGATTGGAAAATAATTCATACGAATATTCGTTAAGGTTAGAACGAATAGTTTGACAATAATTGGGCGCCGAGTATAGAGAATTCATTATATGTGAAAAAATTATAATTGAAATATAAATAATTCCAACGTTTCGTAAAGCTAACTTGTCTGGACGTCTTCAGGGAAGAAGTCGCTGAGACTATTTCAATTATAATTTTTTCACATATAATGAATACTAGTGTAACTGTTAGTCTTCATACTCATTTTTATCCGATGTGCTCCAGCTACTCAAGACAAAAGGTTTTTAAGGTGATTTTTAACTCATTGAGAAGTAAGAGCACTGTACAACCGCTCGTTCACTATCTTAAAACTCAATAACTTCGTGAATAATAATATAATTTTTGTTATTCGATGCTATAAATGTTATTAGAGCAAGGTATTCTCAGCATTAATTGTATGATGTTGTAACAAATTTCTGTTTAACGTAAAGAAAAATTTTAATTACCTGCAAATATATCTTATAAATGTTTTTAGTCAGTATCTGGCACCCAAGCCCAGCTACCTGATGTAACTAATTTTCCATCCATCATATATTAGATGCGTCGATTCCAATGTGTTCATCTCTCGCTTCTTGAAAAGATAGAAAATGAAAAAGGATTGTGCTAACCATTATAGTTTTTCGGTTTGAGTTAATCATTATTATGTAAGTGGTTTATAATTACCTATGAGCATAAGCAACTAACACTCATAATTATTCATTTCTAACAAATCTGAAGCCCAAGGGATTATTGCAGTATTTACGAAGTCGAAACATCATTAAACTGTAAGATGTTAACTACATGCTTCCGTTCTTTTTTTATCCTCTACAGTTATAATAATCTTGTTTTTTTTCTGTTGTTTACTCTATCCTTTCATATTACAAATGTTATATTTTTCACCCAATAACATACACGATTACACAAGCATGCGACATATAAATCACTGTGACCGGGGGGACATGACTTTGAGTTGATTGGATCTGTTTTTTGATTGATCGTACTAAATGTTTTTGCTTTGTTCCTTTCTAGTGTTTAAACTTGTACTAATTTAATTTAATTTTTCTACTCATTGGGTTATTACAAATATATCATTTTGATTGGTGACAATCTATCCAATGCTCAATTTATTTGAAATTTTTAGGTTTGGGCTAGTGTTTTCATTGCCCAGTCAACTATCATTACAAATTATGTAAAGTAGATATTACTAACTGTAAAATCTATGTAATAATCAGCCAACTGAAATGAACTGTGATAAACAATTAGCAATTATTATTAGCTAATTACATAATTTCTAGTGATATTTGATTTATGAAGTTAACCAAAGCTGTTATCAACTAATAATATAATGCAAATGGAATCTTCTTTATGACTAGTTACAATTATTTTGATAATAATAACTATATTACCAAATATTAAGTAGTTTAATTTTACTTGGTATTGTTTACTTCAATCTTCCCGTTGATGTTCATGACTGCAATTCATCAGTCTCTTATTCGCATATGTAAATATTGTGCGGATTGCCTCGATATTGCCTTAAGTTACAAGCATTATAAGCAAAGATGGATGGTGGTTGGCAATCCGCACAAGATGTACATATGCCAATAAGAGACTTATCAGTTCCAGTCCTAAACGTCAATGGGAAGATTCAAGTAAACAATATCAAGTGAATTTGAACTTTACTTCATCGCACAAGCACGAGGCTGTCAAGACTCATTAGCTATGTGGATAGCGCGATAGAGTATCAGACGGGTTTGACTAATGGAGTCATCATCAGCTGACGAGTCGTAAATAGGATGAGATGCACATTTTGGATTCCACTGCTAGACACCATTTATCTTTGTTTATCAATTAATTTATTCATTGAATACATTTAGTTTCTTTGATAATTTGCAATAGAGCAAGTACAGGGAGGTTTACAAAAAGAATTGAATCCGTCATTTTATCTCAAGGTTTTCTATCAGTTTCTAACACTATAAAATTGCAAAGAAGAATATTATCGTAGCTCACATACAATTGAGTTTGTTCATATCTAATTTGGTTAAGCCCTTTTGTTAACTTATTTAACGGACAGAGACATCCGTACGATAACAACCTATCTATACTATTGTATCTTAATCATTGTTACACTTGAGCATTGTTCACTGCCTACGCATATATTCATTTTGCTGGTCTTACTGTTAATCGTTTAATTGATTCGGTGATCCATTCATTTAACTATGTATATATATGTACATGTTAATTCTGTTCACTGACTTGCTGACTCTCACACTCGTTCATTGACTCGATCACTCGTTCGCTTTACGGCACTACTCTCTCGCGCTTGCTTAACGTGCCTGTAATTTTGGATATCTGTAAGTGGTTCAATAATAAACGCAATCAACACTTCGTATTCGCCTTCTGATTTATACACCGTTGCGGCGTTATCTAGTAACGGTTATCAGGACAAACAATATACGAAGTTTAAGAATAATATCGAATATCAACCACCACAATGTGATTGTAAACAAAGTGTTGGTATACTTAGATTGATGAAACGCAAATGAATCTTGAAAAAGGCCCAACAGTTCATAATAAAAAGAAGAAGACAACAAAATTCGATAAAGTTTAGACCAAATTTAGCTTAATGAATAAATGATGGTGAATGGGCAAAACAGGATTCCATATTAGATCATACTGTTCATGAATACCTAATGCACTCTGCGCTTCTTATCGAAACGTTAGATATACAAAAACACATATAAACGTTTATAACCATGTTACGCTATATGAACTTTTTTTCCAGTTTCGAATATTCATCATAATTTCATTAAGGAAATCGAATCAATCATTTGCCTCTAATCGTACAGTATTTGCAATTTCAGGTGGTTTGGAGCTGATTAAAATCCAATAATTAGAATAAATACACTTCATTGTTCGAAACTTTATTGTTCTTGTTTTGTTCAGAAATATTTTTCTTATACCTTCAAATCAATTACATTTTAAGAAATAAAAACAATTGAATGGATGAACTTAACACCTATAAATGTAATATGATAGTAGAATGACACATAAGCTTTGCAAGTTGGAAACGAAACATAAACATATATCAAGTTAATAGAATAATTTTAAAAGTCTGTATTAGCACTAAACAGAAAAGCAATGTACTGCTAGCTAAATTAAGATTTATATTTTAATCCTATATTCGGCGTATTAGTTCAATATATATATATATATATATATATATATATATATATATATATATATATATATATATATACATCCACGATCCCGCACTCGCGAGATTTGAACCCAGGACCTACCAGTTTCGAGCCAGAGCCCTTAACCTATGGATGCGCACTGATGAGGAGCCCCATAATAGCACGAAACGGCTGTCCAGTGCTTCCAGGTTTTCGATGGGGGTCTAGCTTCAATTGACTCATGATTTCAACTTTGAAAAATACTGAAATCTCCACAAATCTCCTTCTGATTAAAATCATATGCTCACTAGTGACTGACTTCAAGATACATGTCCTGGAGTTCTAGTGGGAAGCAGTGACCAGTGGAGTTCAACCACGTCTGTTGTGAGATAACAACTCATTGAAGGCAATTGGTGAAGTGTCGCTCATAATTAGTGGATCGGTTGAAGTTAGACATTAACACAGTTGTATGCCGGCTCAGTGGTCTATCGTTTAAGGGCTCTGGCTCGAAACTGGTAGGTCCTGGGTTCGAATGTCGCGGGTGCGGGATCGTGGATACGCACTGCTGATGAGTCCCATAATAGGCCGAAACTCCCGCCCAGTGCTTCCGTATACATCACTTATTTTTGTTGTTAATGGTATATCAAATTAATTTAAAAGTAGTCGTTAATCTATGTTGTAGAGATGAATACTTTCTAAACTGTGGTTATATCTTCATTAATCTATCTTCAAATGAATAAATATACAACTCATTAGTAAATTTCCTACATAATCTAGTCGAAAACCCTAACAATCACTTTGGATTATTTTAGGTTGAAAATATTATATTTCATTTAACAATGATTTTAAGCTCTTCATTCACCTGAAACAAGTAATGTGATCTAACATATGGATTTGAAGAAGAAAAAGAATTTTTAGTGGTAGCGATAATAAACAGAAGGCTAAACAACTAAGTTACCTGAATATATCGTTTTATTAAAGTGATCATCTTGTATAAGACATCAA